AAAAATATCTTCCCCCCATACAAACTTTTTCAAACTTGCTGTATTAACACTTTAATATATGTACTACTACTGGTGTTTTGTAAATGTGGGGCCCATAACTGCAAGACACTCATTTTCTGGGGCAAAAGAGGTCTTTTTGCCATTTTTCTCATAAATTGACTATCGGGCCATGTTTATGCGATAATAAAAATATCTTCCCCCCATACAAACTTTTTCAAACTCGCTGTGTTAACACTTTATTATATGTACTACTACTGGTCTTGTGTAAATGAGGGGCCCGTAATTGCAAGACACTCATTTTTTGGGGAAAACTAGGTCTTTTTGCCATTTTTTATCAAAAATTGACTACCGGGCCATGTTTGGGCGATTATAAAAATATCTTCCCCCCATACAAACTTTTTCAAACTTGCTGTATTAACACTTTATTATATGTACTACTACTGGTGTTTTGTAAATGTGGGGCCCATAACTGCAAGACACCCATTTTTGGGGCAAAAGAGGTCTTTTTGCCATTTCTATCATAAATTGACTATCGGGCCATGTTTATGCGATAATAAAAATATCTTCCCCCCATAAAACTTTTTCAAACTCGCTGTATTAACACTTTATTATATGTACTACTACTGGTGTTTTGTAAATGTGGGGCCCATAACTGCAAGACACTCATTTTTTGGGGCAAAAGAGGTCTTTTTGCCATTTTTCTCATAAATTGACTATCGGGCCATGTTTATGCGATAATAAAAATATCTTCCCCCCATACAAACTTTTTCAAACTCGCTGTATTAACACTTTATAATATGTACTACTACTGGTCTTGTGTAAATGAGGGGCCCGTAATTGCAAGACACTCATTTTTTGGGGAAAACTAGTTCTTTTTGCCATTTTTTTTTCAAAAATTGACTATCGGGCCATGTTTAAGCGATAATAAAAATATCTTCCCCCCATACAAACTTTTTCAAACTCGCAGTATTAACACTTTATTATATGTACTACTACTGGTCTTTTGTAAATGTGGGGACCGTAATTACAAGACACTCTTTTTTTGGAGCAAAGAGGTCTTTTTGCCATTTCTATCATAAATTGACAAGCGGGTCATGTTTAAACGAGAATAGAAATATCTTCCCCCCATACAAACTTTTTGAAACTCGTTGTATAAACACTTTATTAAATGTACTACTGTTGTTTATGTATAAATGGAGAGTTATGATTGTAAGACACATCTTTTTGGAGGCAAAGTAGGTCTTTTTACCAATTTTATTAAAAATTGACGACTGGGACAGGTTTAAACGATAGTAAGTATCTCTTCCACCTATCCAATATTTGTCAAACTCGTTGTGTTTACTTCCCATTATAAACACTTATACTTGTCTTTCTTATACTAAGCGGATATATTTGTGAGACACTTATATTTTGGGGAGAACTGTGATTTTTTGGCAATTATTCACAGTTTTTATGATTAATCTGGCAACGCATAAAGCATCAGCTGATTTTGCATCGATGCCTTTTTCGTAAACTCTCGCATCGCTCAATTGAAATCTGAGTTCTGGCAACAGTGATCGGGGCGTTCAAAAACGAGAGAGATGTCTGCTGAGAGATGTCTGCTAGGGTAACTTTGGTGGGATAAGATCACGCGAAATTGCTTTCTAACCATTGTGACGTAACAAGCTGAAAATATAAATTATTGCGTCAAACGCCACGCTGCGGTTAACCGGTTAATTTTACCCGGTTAACGCTTAAAGTGTTTTCACTGAAATTCCGAGTCCTACATCTAACGTTAGCTTTACTGTCGTTAAATTATTCCAAATCGAACCAAGATTTGCCCAATACGCTCTGTCCCGGCTTTTCGTTTCATATATGGTAAGCCTGGTACTTTTTCTTTTATGCCATTTCCTCAAAACATTAACAGTTCTAATCTATACGTGTAAATCATTTTGATGTAAAAGTTTCTTTGTTGAACTGAAAAACCTGGATTGACTCGTCAATATGTTGCAATATCTTTATTGTTCAGAGAGAGAGAGAGGTTATAATATTTTGCGTTTTGTTCTTGGTCGGCCTACTTTTCGTTGACACAATGGTAAGTAACATATGGCAGAGGCGCAGAAAGGTGAAGCCGGTAGTGGAAGTTGAAATCGTGTAGTGAATCACATTCAATAATTATCCCATTACCAGCACCGACTTCCTGTGTAGTTATTGGAATTTATTCGTTTGACAGATGTGACAAACTCCCGCAAGGAGGTTTCAAATTCATCGTTAGCAAAGTAGTTATCATGACGAAACATGCAGATTTGTGTAATAGTGAAGTGCTTTTTGGACACGAATTTCACATATGTATCGATGTGTTATTATGTTGTTCGTGTTGATAATTCTTCCTATTGTTATTATTATCGCTTTGCTGTACTGTCGTCAAATTATTCAAAATGACGTTTTCCAATGAGTTGACTATTACTAAGCCTCAGAATCGAACCAAGATTTGCCCAATTCGGACTGTCCCGTTTTTTTGTTTTATATATATATATATATAATAAGCCTGGATAAACTCTTTCTTCAACGTCATTTCCTCAAAACATCAACTGTTCTAATTTATGCATAGGCCAACAATTGTGGCATAACAATATGGCAGTCTTTCTCACGAAACTTGTGAAGTGAGTCGTAGATGAAAAGACTGCTTCCAGTTACATAAAAAATATTTCTATTGATATTATTAAATAATAATAAAATATTTATCAGTGCCATACTGTGTGACCGGGACATTTAAGTCAACCGGCCGGGACAACGAGACAGCTTGTCAAAATCGGGACTGTCCCAGCTTAACCGGGACGTATAGCAAGCATATCCAGAAATAATAGATGTTTCAACCAAACATTATGCGGAGTACCTACAGATTTTATTATTTAGTTTGCGTGAACAATGTATTCAACTGGAATGCGCAGTCGCGTTAGGGTTGTAATCTGGCATATGAATCGAAAATATGAGTTCTGACCATTCCTAATCTTAAGAAATCATTCATTGGAAGTAGATCAACAGTTAAAATGCCTAAAATAACTACGTGGCTTGGTGCAAAAAAACATAATATAAATGAAGTATCCAACTAAACTATTTTCATCACTTTACAGAGTTCAGATCTCTGTGATTTTTTATAAGCCTGTTCAAACAGGCCCACGAGCCATCTGTAAGCCTGATGGTTGGCTCATTTAGTCTCTGGTGAGCGTTGCTGGTCGGTTAACTGCCAAAGTCACAGCCACCAGCAAAAACAGTATTCTGAAAATTAAAATTCCCCACCTCATGAATTTTAATAATAAGATCGTAGAGTGTCGCTGCTTCATAACCAGCTTTGGGTCCCCAAGTAAAATTGAATAAGTTCCTGTCCCCAGTTAACTTGAGTCCTCTCTCCGAGTCTATTTTGCGTGACATACTTCTAACCATCACTAATCACTGACCAACAACTCCCAAAACGCCAATTAAACCATTGTGATCTGACCGCTGTCGGATGTGGAGTGATATTGGACGATGGGATAACTGGATGGAGTCGAAGAGCAATTTTGGACCAAAATAAGAATGTTGAACTTTATTATACAAACCTTCGGATTAATCCGAATGGACTGCAAATGTCGTGGTTCTCGAGAGAAATACAAACAAGTGGTCAGAACAATGAAAACACCCTGTGATAGTAGTAAATCAATACTTTATTTAATGCAAAGAATGGCCTTTGTTCATCCTTATATGCAACAATATAACTGGCTTTAAATTTTGATATCTGCATGTATGCGTTTTTTAGCGTTTGTTTGTTGTGTTTGTTTTTCATTGTCTCCAATCGCATATATATAATCATTGCCCAAATGCATTGGCTTGGCTGAAACGTGCTTGTGTCCGACGCTCGTTTCTTCACTTTTCTTCGACACGAAACGCCCGCCGAGGCTTCCACTGCTGATCATCGAGTCTTTTTATAAATATTATTATGTGTGTCAATTTCGGTGAACAAGCACATGAATTACACGTTTTTCCAGGCATTCTGTCATAAGATGTATTCGCTTCATTGAGTGTTAAGTTAAGCAATATGTCACAGCAGACTACTGTACAGTACTCCGGTACTTACGACAGTCGTATTCAAAAAAAAATCACTTCTCCTATTAACTGCTTGAAAAAGTTCAGTTTCGCGTTACGTGAAGACTGCCTAATTACGCACACAAAGCGCATATATTGTATATATATATATAGCCTACCGCAATTCCCCGAAAATAAGACTTATTGGTCTTATTTCAATTTTCTTCCGAAAATAACTCTAGAGATTTTTAAGTATACAAAATATGAAAACCGATATCCATTTACTTTTTTACGTTTTTATTCGAAATAACTGCAAAACATAGATTATATCAATGACATTAAACATATCAATCATTTAAAACATGTAGGAGAGATTTCTTGCTGTCGACTAGGTAAAAAAAAATTCGCGGTATTGACTAGGTCTTATTTTAAAGGGAGGGTTGATATTAAAATCATATTTAAAAGTCAGGCTAGGTCTTATTTTCAGTGAAACACGGTACATATCCCAGCTCAGTGTTTGTTTGTTTTTGTTTTTTTCAATATTATTTTTTTTCATTGCAATAAACAATATTAGAATATCAGCAATCCATCAATCCAGTGTTAAAACAGCACTTGTTATTTTGGAATTATAGCCCCACCTTCCGAATGCATTAAAAACCGGTGACTATCATGTGATGTCAATCATGTGAAAACATATATATCAATAATTTGCGTTCGATCTGTTAGAAGCCGCTAGCTGCGTGCGTTTTGGTGATGGGTTTTTTCTGCGTTCTCTATTCTTTTTGTGTCTTGGTATATTGTATTGTATATTATTGTATACAATAATGGCTAAATGCAGGGATGGGGTTTCTTGTGCTTGTTGCGCAAAACTGTTTGGAGTGAGATAAAGTCTGAAAGTTAAGTCAGTACCGGTACCGGTACCGGTACGGTAAGTCCAGCAGTCGCAAATTCCTGAATTCAGTTCGTTCTGTCTTTAGACTTTGAGAATAGTTGAGTAGTTACCGTAGTCCATAGATAGGGACAGGGAATAAAATAAGAAAAACATATCCATATGTCCAAGTTAACAGCTAAATTCTTTCTGTGCTTGTACCGGTGCATAGGCCTATCAGCCTATTCACTAATTCAGCTATTACCGGTACTGTATTATGGAAATACCACTATTAGGCTATATCTTCCGATTTCAGAATCTTTTGAACTTGTAACTTACAGACTTAATAAAGCAAAACTGGTAATATCCACACCTTCTTATTGGAATCATGGGTCTCAGTGATGCAGATGTTAAGAAGCAGGTATGAAAACGCATTGATATCCAAATATATTCTAAGTTTTACTTTCAGACTTTGTACTGTTATAATACACTAATAGATTAATGAATAACATTTCTTAAATATTAGCTACTCATATCAGTATATGTGTATATACTGCACTACTACACTAGCAGTATCATTTAATTTCGTATATCAGTTTAAAAGCATTGCATTCTATGTGGGCTCAATTTCCTGGAAAAATATTTGTCTATCGAATAAAGTTTCAGTTATAGATAAGAATCTGTTGTCACTGCTGCACTATTGCATGAACTTTATTATGATTTGTTGTTGGCACCCTATACGTATGTGAGAGGGTTGAGTACCATAATAGTAGTAGTTATCTACTGCAAACTGAGCCGTTTCATACTTGAATCGTTTTATTTTACATTGCCACATTCAGATTGACCATATGATTGCATTCATTGTGCAAGAGGCAGATGAGAAAGCGGACGAAATTGATGCCAAAGTATAAATTTTAAACATTCTTAAATATATAACTTAAGTTTAGATAAAATAAGATTATTTATTAAATTATATGAGTGGAACAATATTCAAATTTCATTTATGAATAATTGAGTATTCTAGATTTTGGTCTCCCAACAATTTTTGATTTCAGATGATCTAAATGTGTTGGATTCTTAGCATTATCATATGTTGCTATCCGGAATATAATAACATTTATTGTCTTTTATTATATTCTGTATTGTATCAATTCAGAATATGCATACAAAATAATTTACACTGAAATATCTTAACGACGTGTATATCCTATCCCAGTGTTGTTTTAATGTGTTTTCATGCCTTCATGACGAACAAGGCTTTTTACAAATAATCATTGATAAATAGGAGCTACGATTTGGAAATGTACCAGAATCATTTCCATTGCTTAGTCTATTGTTTGTGAACAAGAGAAATCAAAATAACATGGGATGTTTATAGAAATCTTCTGTGCTAATATCCATAATTTGTTAGTATTGAATATTGGGTTAATCTTTTCAGGCTGAAGAAGAATTTCAGATTGAGAAGGGTAGGCTTGTTCAACAGCAGCGTCAAAAAATTATGGAATTTTATAACAAGAAAGAAAAACAGCTTGAACAACAAAGAAGAATGTAAATATATAATGGACTTATATTTATGTTCAATGATTTTTCATTGAAATTTTTTTGTTTTTCATTTTACTAGCTCACCTCAGTTTTGTTTTATAATAAAGCACTGTCTATACTAGTTCTGGTCTATTTCTTTCAAATATATGGATATCAAATTGATTTAAAAAGATAATAAAATCAAAACAAATAGATAATAGCAATAAAAATGAGTGTAGCCATTAGCCAATAAAATTGTTACATGTGTAAGGAAGTGTCTTCTGATAAGGTTAGAATGTAAAAAAGTTGCTTTCATCTGAATATTTTCACTGGGTAATAACAGTTGTCCACATCATTTATGGTAATTCAATGCACTCACTTTCATCTGGTTTCCTGCTTATTACCGATCCCTTGGGCGATTTCTTTATAATCACCTTACTGAGCTAATTTCCATTCTGTTTGGTATTTAATTTTGTCATATAGTGTGTACCATATTTTTATATTCAAAATTGAGTAATTTATGGTTTAAATTTGTTAGAAGATTAGTTAGAGGAAGTTAATAGCACTATATATAAATTAAATATGTGGATGTTCAAAACAATCAGTGTATTCAATAAATTCCCATTTATAATTCCTAATCTGAATTAAGACTAAACCCCATATCCTGCTTCTGCTATTAATTTGTAGTAATTTGTACTTTTTTCTCTTTACAGACAACAATCTCAACTGGTGAATTCCGCTCGACTGTCTATGTTGAAAAAGAGAGAAGAGTATATTGATGTATGATTGAACTCATCTCTGTTTTAGCTAAATAACAAATAAAAGATCAGTAAAGTAGTCCAAAAAAATATGGATCGTGCCTGGCCTACTCTACCACCTCCTCCACTCTTCATACCCTCACTATGCTCTTAACTTTACATTCTCTGTAAATGAATGGCCCTACATGACCAATATATTAATATCACAGATCACAGTATATCATATTATGCATGTGAGCCCTTGTGCATTTATTAGGCTGTGTGTTATATCAACAAAAAGTCGAAATTCTTTATATTTTACAATATTTTATGGATGTTTATTTTGTTCATAGAAAATTTTAGAGGAAGCTCGAGATGGTCTTGGTGAAATTCGGAAAAATCCGCAGCAATATCTTGAACTTTTGGAAGGATTAATTTCCCAAGGATTGTTTCAAATCTTAGAAGGCGACATTGCCCTAAATTGCAAAAGAGATGATCTCCAAGCTGTCAGAGTGAGTTCGTGTTTAGGGATGTTCAAAAATCTGTTGTTGGACGAAGTCTGAAATTAGTGCAATCGAATTTAGTTTCCAGGAAATTACTTTTAAGAATGGTCATGGATAGCTCATACATCAGGGGTCGGCAACCTACAGCCAGAAGATCCGAGTAATATAATTCGGCCCGCGACGTTTCACTGAATTATAGTAACAAAACAGCTGTTTTGACGATTATATTCTTTACTTAACATAATTTATTTTGAGACACGTGTAAACAAAATTATATTATAACCTAACAAGAATATTATTTACAATTACTCATTTAAAGAGTCTATGATTTAATGATAGTTAGACAAATAGCAACAAAACACAGAAAAGTTGATGCTAAGTGTAGAAGGTTCAATGGCGCTGAAAATATTCAAATGGAATTTTTAGAGATGCAATGCAATGAGAAAATAAACCTAGATTCTATTCGAGAGATGTATCACTGCTTGATCTTTATCATAAAAAGTGTCATCCTTTGGGTTTTCAACTTCCTAAAAATATGTGCGACCCGCCAATGACTTGCAACACTTAATTTTGGCCCGCGAGCGACAAAAGGTTGCCGCCCCCTGTCATACATGGATCAACAAAATTATAAATTATAATGCTTTATAAATATTAATAATGTCAAAAATTTTCCAGTATGATTTTTTCCAAATCTAAAATGAATGAAAACATAAGGTTTTGAACAATCTGTTTTCATTATATATCTACAGTTTTCTTCTGTTTTATCTCAATCTAGCGTGAAATATGAATGAAGCGTTCCTCAATTTCTCTATTTATTTTTCATTCTACTTTCTTTTATCTCATAGCAAGCAATACCCAAAGCAGTTGAACGCTTCTATGAATCTTCTGGTATAAAAGCAAAGATTATTGTTAATGAAAACCAGTTTCTTGGTGGAGATGTATCAGGAGGTGTTGTCATGTCTGCACATGGCGGTAGAATAAAAGTAGAAAACACATTAGAATCCAGGCTTAATCTCGTTAGCAAACAGGTAAGTAATCAATGAAGATGTAACTTAGATAGATCATAATTACTTTAAAATCTAAAAAATGTATTTAAAATCTATATACTGTTTGTATCAGCTGAAGCTAGTATTCAGCATATTTACATAAAATTGCTGTCATCACATATCAGAGACGATGTTATTGAATCCCACTCAGAGCCAGACCACATTGTCTCAATTTCTCAGATATTCTCTAGGCCAGTGGTCGGTAAAAGTTTTTTAAGTGATGCCCAAAAGGTAAAATGGAAAAGGTTTCAATCAAGGCCCAACTACCTAGCTTGTTTCTGCTAAGACTTATTAAGGACATTCCGAATGCCATGAACACAAACCAAGCCAGCAAATAATCCTGAACAACCGAACATAGCGGTACACGGCGTTAGCTTGTGCAATTTCATTCATGCGATAGAATAACCATATACATGAGAATGATAATATCAGAATAGTTGCATTGTCGATACTATAGATGAAATGTACGCAATGTATGATCGTTTGGTATATGAACAAGAACCATTTGGCAAAAAATTTATATGTAATGTTGGATATATAGAAGTTTATTGTGTATCGCTGGCCATAATTATATATTATTGAAGGCTCACCAGAAAATGCCTGTGGCCCACAGTTTGTCGACCACTGCTCTAGTCTAAACTAAAGTAATTCCTATCCTAACCTTCGAGCTATGAAGTCTCTAGTGATCCAACACCTTGGTCAGATTGTAGGTTTGATCAAGACAACTCAAAAAATGCATCCATTAGTATAAACATCAGGGGTTAAAAAATATTCTTTTGGTCTATCAGGTGGAAAAAAAATTTCATGGGGTGTTTCACTTCTGTACTTCGTGCCGTGTAGGCAGGGGATTCACACGCAAGTTTAGTCTCAAATTTACAGTTTTTCTACAAATATACCTAATTGTTCTCTGTAAAATGGATTTCTATCATTGTATATCACTAATTTTGAATGTGTTCTTACATTCAGATGATGCCAGAAACAAGAGAAACATTGTTTGGACAGAATAGAAACCGGAAGTTCATGGACTGACTTGCATTTTCGTTATTCTTTCCAAAATTAGATCAATATAATAATATTATATTTTGTGTTCAATGACTTTCAGTGCTCTTGGTGACCACAGGGATAACTCTATACCTTTCATTATTTATAATATAATAATGAAATACCCAAACCCAATAATCAGGAAATTGTTTGTGTGACACTTATTGTTCATTATTATAGTATAATGATTATAAAGATGCGTGTTAAACCATTTATTTTTTTCAATTTTGTGCTGGCAGCTGTTTTAAACTTGTCTAACATTCCAAATAAAGTAAATGAGTTTGCTTCAGTCTGAGGAACTTATGTTTTGAATCTAAATCATAAGTGATGTTTAAGTGCACCTTGCCATCTGCTATTTTTGTATATGCTGTTTGACTACTTTGCTCTTAATCAATCAATCTCTAGTGATTTGTTTGTCATTATTGATCCAGTATACAATATATTGTTGTTTGTACTGTTAAAATTCCAGACTTTGTTCGTCCCCTCCTGCTGACTTTTTATTTATCCATATTCGAACAGTTAATGGCTATACATGGTGGAGGAGTAAAAAGTCTATGATGGACCTTCATGTTTCGAGATATTACAAGTTGTATTCATCGTATTTGGGCTGTCCTGTTGTGCAATGTTGAAACAAGTTCCTATATAAGTACATTATTCCTATTGTTTTTTTATTGTATCATTAAACGTCGCCTAGAATTGTTCTTCTCTTTATTTTGGGGGTTATTAAATGTTAGGATGGTGGAGTGGCTCCAGTTTATCCACGAATTTCGTTTGTGGTTTCTTGCACTACCTGAAGAGGATTCTGCGCAGTAATGTGTGAAACTGAGAAAACTTTGTGTCAAATTATATACGGTAAATTCGACTGACTACGATCGTCATGAGTAAATTCGCCTCGTGGCGTTCTTTGCGCTCCACTTTGTCTTCGTAAGAGCTAAAATCTCGTAAAACAAACTATCAATATAAAGTGTATTCGTAGCCTCTGTGTAATTGAATGGGTATTTATCCCAGACCTAGTTTTGGTGTACTACATACGTACCGGTACATATTTATAATCATTTTATAAGTAGAATGGGAAGTATGTGTAATAATAAAAATTTATGAACAAGAAACTTCCGTTATAGGGTGAACATATGTATTTCGGGAGAGGAAAGTGATAAGTTGACCTAATCATATGGCGAACCAAGGCCTCTCGCCCGGTTACCAATCTAGTTCGGGTATGGGATTAGTTACCGTAGCCAGGTATTTGTTTCCGGAAGCATGGACTTAGTGGTGGAGGAGTCGTGACCAGCGAACCACCCTACGGCGGCGAGGAGTCCAGCAATCCTCATGTACGTAGCTATCCGCGCATGGGAATCGAACCTGCGAACCCACGCAGGGTAATTAGGGGTGCGGTGGCGGGCTTATTCCTAACGCTTAGCACGATGCGTCACACCGCCGAGCCATTATATTGTGGAGTCATGGAGTGTTGTGTTTGATGTCTATATTAGTTTAACATCAGTCAGCGACAAAACTGCAGTGCCTCTTTAATTGGGGGCTTCTAAAGTAAAACAATATTGGTCGACATTAACAGACATGAAAGTAAATGTTCATAATATACAATGTACAAATATTGCAGTTTTCATATATTTTATACTACAGGAATATTATATTTTCCGAAATGTTAGAGTGTTTTTGCAGTGTAGGCTGTTTCGCCTACGTATTACTTTCGCATTTGTGTAATTTTTTCAATGCATCTGTGGAAAGCATCAATCCTTGTTTTTAATAAATCATACAAGGCCCTCACAATATTGTTGTTGCTCCACGGCGCCCACGGACGACGCAACTAAATAGCGTCTGTAGAATTACCAACCAACGAAGTACCCTGGGCGTTTACAGTTATACATTATTCCGCATTCGATTTCCATAAATATTAAAGTAAGGATCGTGGTTAGCGCAGCACAACGCGGTTACACATTCCGCAATGGACAAGGTGGCAGAAGGTGGGTTCATTAGTTAAAGCGAAACAACATACATTTAAGTTAAACAACACAACAATATACGGTACCGTACCGGTACTAATACTGTAATAAGACATACGGTAGTCACATATCTGTCACCCACCACAACGCATTGCCCTGTGCCCGCATTAAATTCCATTTGTACTACTGCACTAAGGGGTTTCTGGGGACCGCCCATCAGGGTGGATCACATGCTGACATAATTTTTGTTGATACGTAAATTGGAGCTTATAAAATTTGCTTTAATGCCTGGTCTGCTGGTGGTTATCACTGTATCATACAGAGCAACGAGTTTGTAATTAATGTGATGATTCAAAAAAAAATGACTGATTTCAACATGAACATAATAAAAAACAAACATACATAAGATATACTCCTTTGTATTCACTTGAATTGTTATTCAATTTGTCAATGCATGTTAACCCACCTCAATTCCTTTTGGGGCATTTTGTTGAGTTGTGCCACACCTCTGTACAGTGCTTTAGATTTGTGCACATTTCTGTCGTAGGACAACACTAAAAGGCTGAAGGAAGAAACGGATGAAGTGGAAGAAAAGCGGAAGTTGGAGTGTTCCCAAAGGTGAAAAATTAAAAAACACTAAAAAGCTGAACACTAAAAGGAAGAAGTGGATGAAATTTCTTCCGACGGCTGGTGAGGTGGTTGAAGACACTAAAAAGCTGAACACTAAAAGGAAGAAGTGGATGAAATTTCTTCCGACGGCTGGTGAGGTGGTTGAAGACACTAAAAAGCTGAACACTAAAAGGAAGAAGTGGATGAAATTTCTTCCGAAGGCTGGTGAGGTTGTTGAAGACACTAAAAAGCTGAACACTAAAAGGAAGAAGTCGATGAAATTTCTTCCGACGGCTGGTGAGGTGGTTGAAGACACTAAAAAGCTGAACACTAAAAGGAAGAAGTGGATGAAATTTCTTCCGACGGCTGGTGAGGTGGTTGAAGACACTAAAAAGCTGAACACTAAAAGGAAGAAGTGGATGAAATTTCTTTCGACGAATAATGAGGTGGTTGAAATAACTAAAAAGCTGAACACTAAAAGGAAGAAGTGGTTTAAATTTCTTCCGACGAATAATGAGGTGATTGAAGTCACTAAAAGTGACGTTTTACATCGGTTTCTATTCGCATGAGATCACAAATTTTCATCGACATAAGTCTTGTGCCGCAAGGACGATGATAATTGCTTTTTTGCTCTCGCACGGAACTCTGAGTTATTATATTCATCACCGGCGAGATGATAAATAAAGAAGTGAATCCGTAACCTAACTTATCAAGATTAAAAATTGGGCAATATAAAATACTAAAAATAAAACGGAGAACACTATAAGTTTTGTTTTAGGATGGCCCGCGACAGGGTAAAATTTTTTTTATGTTTGTTAATTGCAAATTTTCGTATCCCTGCGACACACATTTTTATAACTGCGGATTGCCGTGGTAGTACTGTAAAAAGTCAAAAATCTCGTTTTGCAATCGCGGCAACCGTCTGTTGCATGGAAATTTTCGGTCCTGATTTTAACCCCCACTTTTGGAAATCCTGACCGCGCGCCTGCCAATACTGTATTGTTGTTATGATTTTCATCCCAGTTGATACGCTGTGTTCCACTATATTATTTTTTACATTTATTTATTTTTTCCTGCATAAAATATCAGAATGTGAAAAACAATGATAAATCCATGGAAATCGCTATCCTGAGATAAGAAAGTAAACAGCTCGCAACAGGACTATATTACAGTGCGAATGATACCTACATAATTACATAAATAAAAACACACGAAACCAAGCTTTTTAACTGTAACTACTTGAAATGTGAAGAAAACTGACGACGCAGGCGATGAATGTGAAAAACAAATGATAAATCTCCGGGAGTCGATGTCCTGGAATAAGAAAGGAAAAACACCGATACAATGCGACTTAATAGTTAAATACATGGGCTACATAATTACTTGAAGGAATAAAAAAACACGAAAGAGAGCTTTTAACAGTAAATATTTTAAATCTGCAAAAACTGACGTGGGCAATTCATGGGTTTTTGCAATGTGGACATACATAGTACGTCACGTCATATAATATACTTTCTGGTAAACAGGTCCTGTGGCTCCATTTTCGGCAATTTACACACATTACTTGAGTCTCGTCTTTCTTGTTCCCCGTGCATTTATCCATATCGCAAGTTGTCCAACCGCTTTTTTCCTTTTGTATCATAGGAAAACATTCATGGTATGTTTTTGTCCCGATCCCAGTTAATCCGGCGAAAGAAGAGATCCACTGGGACTTCGATATCTCCCTTGCTCCAGTTAGCTCGTTCTTGCTGTGGTGAGTTTTGGCCTCACCGGAAAAATTAATAATAACGCTTTTTATCCATGCTCGTACTTGCGCGGAATCAAAGTGTGCTATAAGCGGAATGTGATTGAAAACACAGTAAGCGTTGATAACAGAGTGGACGCCGCAGTCGTAACTATTAATCTGCTGTGGAGCATCCGAACACAGAATCAGCTCCCATTCCGTGGGCTTAAGTTTCACCCCTGCAATCGCAAAGAATAAGTATAAAATTTTGAAAGCTTGCTCAAGTAGATGGTACTTGGTTGCAATTGATGAACAGGTCTCAGACGAATCGATGGCCACTAAACTTTTATGTTTGATGTCTGCTATAACTATAAACCAATGAACCCCTGGATGTTGGGATGTGTTGACTACAAAGACCAATGAATCATAATTGATCGGTTGTTTGAGAACAGCAAAATCTGCAATTGGTTTAGTTGAATTGTTGAGTGCAGCTGATATTAAAAAGCTTTCTACTACCAAAAATGCCGAATTAAATTGATGTATAGAAAGACCACCAATGGCACTCTCTATTGCCTCTCCTAGTAGCCACTGGTCATTGCTGACACTGGAACAAAGTAAACGCTTGTTTTCAGGAATGTCTTTCTCGCCATACCACACATATGCTGTTTCCCATGGGTGTGTTGTCGAATTGTCTGTCTTTCTCAAAGGCAAATCCTCCTTTTAGTGTCCAGCTTTTTAGTGTCTTCAACCACCTCATTATTCGTCGGAAGAAATTTTCATCCATTTCTTCCTTTTAGTGTTCAGCTTTTTAGTGTCTTCAACCACCTCAGCAGCCGTCGGAGGAAATTTCATCCACTTCCTCCTTTTAGTGTTCAGCTTTTTAGTGTCTTCAACCACCTCACCAGCCGTCGGAAGAAATTTCATCCACTTCTTTCTTTTAGTGTTCAGCTTTTTAGTGACTTCAACCACCTCACCAGCCGTCGGAAGAAATTTCATCCACTTCCTCCTTTTAGTGTTCAGCTTTTTAGTGTCTTCAACCATCTCACCAGCCGTCGGAGGAAATTTCATCCACTTCCTCCTTTTAGTGTTCAGCTTTTTAGTGTCTTCAACCACCTCACCAGCCGTCGGAAGAAATTTCATCCACTTCTTCCTTTTAGTGTTCAGCTTTTTAGTGACTTCAACCACCTCACCAGCCGTCGGAAGAAATTTCATCCACTTCTTCCTTTTAGTGTTCAGCTTTTTAGTGTCTTCAACCACCTCACCAGCCGTCGGAGGAAATTTCATCCACCCCTTTTTTCTTTTAGTGTTCAGCTTTTTAGTGACTTCAACCACCTCACCAGCCGTCGGAAGAAATTTCATCCACTTCTTCCTTTTAGTGTTCAGCTTTTTAGTGACTTCAACCACCTCACCAGCCGTCGGAAGAAATTTCATCCACTTCTTCCTTTTAGTGTTCAGCTTTTTAGTGTCTTCAACCACCTCACCAGCCGTCGGAGGAAATTTCATCCACTTCTTCCTTTTAGTGTTCAGCTTTTTAGTGACTTCAACCACCTCACCAGCCTTCGGAAGAAATTTCATCCACTTCTTCCTTTTAGTGTTCAGCTTTTTAGTGTCTTCAACCACCTCACCAGCCGTCGGAAGAAATTTCATCCACTTCCTCCTTTTAGTGTTCAGCTTTTTAGTGTCTTCAACCACCTCACCAGCCGTCGGAGGAAATTTCATCCACTTCCTCCTTTTAGTGTTCAGCTTTTTAGTGTCTTCAACCACCTCACCAGCCGTCGGAAGAAATTTCATCCACTTCTTCCTTTTAGTGTTCAGCTTTTTAGTGTTTTTTAATTTTTCACCTTTGAGAACACTCTAACTTCCGCTTTTCTTCCACTTCATCCGTTTCTTCCTTCAGCCTTTTAGTGTTGTCCTCTGTCGTATTGAGTTTTAAGCCATATAACTCACGGTCAATCGATTTTTTTTATCAAAAATCATATTGCTGACTTATTCGAATAACTGAAGAGATTTCCTCTATATCAGTATATATAGTGATTGAATGAAAATTTGGACTCAATATTATCCGCTGAATTATGCAGTACGAATTTATAATTACGAATTGTAATGCAACTCAATATAACATCTCATAAATGGTTTTGCTGCATTATCATGGTCCACAATTGGGTTCACGTGAAGTAAACGCAGTAATTGCTTAAGAAACGCCGAACAAAAACGTGATGTGAAAATATGATCCAAATTTTCCTTTTAGACAAGTCCGTCTTGCGCAAACACAATACCATATTTGGCGTGGGTCATCTCTGCTTAGTTTATCATTGAGTGGGTTGCATTTGAACTAAACACATTCATTTCAAGAATTTCTTTCTGCGTCATACAAACTGTTATTTTAAAAAAAATATGTTAAAATTTTTACGTCCCATTTTTGTTTGGTGTTATTTAAGCAGTCACTACGTTCATTTCATGTCACATTTTTGTTTGGCATTATTTAAGCACTTACGGCGCTGCTTTCACATCACATTTTTGTTATGCTTTATTCAAGCCGTATAGAACATGATTATAAGAGCATTTGCAAATACTGATATAACACTTGTTCACCATTGTACAGATAACTCCTTCAAACTTATAATTTTATTCTAAAAACACCTCTGTATAGTGCAATACTTCTACAGTAATTGATACCCTTATAATTGCTTGCATTTTGAAAACTACGGTATGTGTACAAAATAAAATGAAACAAAAACGCAATGCTATTTATCCCCATCTTTAATGCTCTTAGATATGCATTTTCATAAGATAGTATATCTGCTTCACCGTTCTTGTCAAATTGTTATTAATAGTTTAGTTTTAAAGTAATCGGATATCCTGAGATATGCTTTTCAACTAAATAAATTTGTCTGCTAAATCCGATATTATATTTTGCTCAGATTCGAAACCATTGGAACAAGAAAAACTTGATGTAGCAGAAAATTTACCCAAACCTTCAGAGTCATCAGTAATACCAATGGAGACCACGCCGATTGAAACGAAACAACCTGATAATATGTCATCAACAGCCACTACTGTCACTACTTCTTCTGAGAGCATACTCTCGGAAGTTGAAAAGATGACAACTTCATCTGAAATAGCACAATCTCATACGTTGGAAAATAAACAAGAACCAGAACTAATGTCCCAACTTCCTGATAAAGAAAAAGATATTCCTATGGATATTGGTCGTCCTGTTTCATCCACAGCTGATATGGAACAAAGTGTTTTCAAAACTCTAGAATCAGCAGTCGAGAGTTCTCATAAAACAGCCCCATCACAATTACATGATGTTCCGATGGAAGAAAAAGATACAAACTTATTGGTATCATTGAGCATTACTAGCTCTGTATCTGCATCTTCAGTTACGATCCCAGTGAACACAACGGCCACAATTCAACCACAACAAAAATCAATATTTTCGAGTTTATTTCCTTCTCCAGTTGCACCATTGTCAAAATTAGTTGAACCAGTGAAGGTTGAAAAACCTGAATCTCCTTTAATACTTGGATCAGGGCAAACTTTACAGACTGTTCCAGAACAGCATACAGAAGTATCACCAATCGAAGATAAAACTATGGAAGTAGAGCCAGCAATTCCTTCAACAGATGATGGAAAAGTATCGTCACCTGCTCCAAAAACCGTCACACCCGCATCTTCTTCTGAAATTATCAATGGTTCAAGTGAGGGGAAGGCTGTGGCTAGTATGATCGATTCACCTGCACCGGATCCAACCATAGATCCAAATATAGGAAAGACAGACCCCCTCATGGTACCTGTCACAGAGAGTGCAAGTACTAGTACCCCAGCAATGCAAGATGTCCCAATGACGGTTCCCGTAGGCAAAGAGATCAAGACAGAAGTGAAACATCCACCAATAGCTACAAAAACGATGAAACGAGAACAGAGAAAAACTTCAACATCTTCTCCTACTGTTCCCGGCGGGGAAACTAGGAAGACTCAGAGAGCGAAATCATCTTCTACAAGCCCTGGTGGTGGAAAATCAAAAAAGAAACGACCACCTCCAAAAGAAACGGTGAGACCATTTTATTATGCTCTCATACAGCGGTACGAGGATAAAAACAATCAATTTTTAGATCCAAGTAATTCCCAGCTTTTGTAGAATATTTCAATGATTGAGCCATGTTTACTTATCGATTTTAAGATAGGTAATTATGTTGATAGGTATTTGTCTGTCTGTCTGTTACTTACACGCGATATCTCACGAAAGCGAGGTTAAATCTGCTTAAAATTTTGCTTGTGCATTCATCATATCTCGGATCAGAAGCCTATTGATTTTGGATGATTTATGTCGTATAATTAGCGAGTTATTAATTAATTAGTGATGGGACACATGGTGTCACTATAGAGTAAGAGCGCATGAATCGAAACCGCAGTTTTTTGTTTTTTGGGGGATTTCCTATCGTTCGATCGATAAGTCTTCGGTCTCCGACCGATATTCTCGTTTTTATTTTGCATCTTCAGATACATTAGTAACTTGATTTGATAAAATGACTGCTGTAGAGGAGGAAGCAAGCTATAATAAGTTTAGAAAAATCTTGCCAGATATTTCAGGAAGTTCCGCATACGTATTATTTTCGTAATGTTTTATTTATTTTTCAATTTTTTAATTTATGGCAGCCTAAAATGTCAGGCTTCACAGTTTCTGCTTCAATACCTCAATTGCTAAGTTTACAGATACCAATATATAATCACATCACTATATCTACTAACTTAATATAGATAAAGAAGTTGGGCATACTGTGCAATTTGGCAATTTTATCCTTTATTGTATAGCTGTGGTACATATTACACCTGTGTGATTCAAATTTGGTGTCACTTTGGTATGCGATCTCCCAACATGATCTTATTGGCATAAAGACATTTTGATAGAACTAAAATCACTGAGATCACACAACCGCTGCACCCAGATTTTGTTGGTTATTCTTTCTATGAATGCTTATATCATGACTTTTGCTTGGAACGAATCAATGTAGGATTAGTCACTGATATGTAAGCAGCAGGGGCGGACACTTTCCATAATTTTGGGGGGGGGCGAACTTGGCTCACCTACCGAAAAACACTGCGTCGTGTATCGTCACGTAACAATAACCTGTCGATGTCATTCTCTAAGTATTAGAATGTCATTTTGCTACTCATATATCGAGTACCTAGGATGCTTCGCTTAGACACGAAACTTGCGCGTCACTGAACCAATTTCTGAACCAACAAGGTAACAAGCTATTGTGCGAATTTTTTTCCTAAATTTTACCAAGGAATTATCATTTGACTAGTAGAATTGCCATTATTGCCGATTTATTAGGTCATTATTTGAACTCAAAATAACATTCAGGATTCACGCAATGACTTTGCAGGGTTTTTATTTATAATTTAATATGAAAATAAACAGGCACAAGCTCAGGCGCGCAGCCAGGAAAGTCGGAACTTCCCATCGCGTCATGCAACGCGATTACGCGCTTGTTAAAAGAGCCGCCTATTTAAGCGTATAATGATTTTTCTGTCGCGTAAAATATTCAATCCATGACAGCCACTAGATTCTAAAATGTCATATATTAATTTAATTGTGTGCAACGTAACTCGCGGTTGCGACTTCTTACGTCAAAATGAAAATATTACTAAACTAAAGTACCACAGCGATATGTGGACATAAAAATATGATATAAGCTGCCTGATGTATTTAATTTTGATACGTATTTTTGCAATCTCCGAACTCGTTATCGCCGTTACAAAAATCTCGATATCTGATATAAAATCCCATATAGTACAATTTTACTTCATACAATGAAAATAATTATAAAGTATACTAGTAAATCAAAAATACAAATTCACTGCCTCGGAATCCACGCGGAACAGTCGCCGCGATTACGCCACTTGTTGAAAGAGCCGACTTTTTCAACGAAGAACGATTTTTCACTTTTGCAAAGTAATCAATCAAAGACCGATACGGGCATATTCAAAATGTCTTGATTTGTTAATATAATGTATTAATATTAATGTATTATAATGAGATGTACTTGTAACACTGGCTCCGCTCAATCGCAATGTTGTCACTCCGATTATTTTCAAGATAAAACACTTCGAAAATTCTGTAAATTTCCTGTCAATTCTCACGTAGTAAAAGTTATTTCAGTACAAGAAAAATAAATAAATAAATACAAAAATTGATCGAATATACTTTAATTATCTTATATATCATCACAAACCGGGAAAAAGTCGCGTTCTCAGCTTTGTTTAATGTTAACACGAAAATTTTCGACGTCAATTTAAAAGTAATGGATAAAAAGGCAAATCCCACTCACAATTGACCATGTTTCGAATTTAGTGACGAAATATTTTTAAAGGTCAATCAAATACAATTTGTGCCGTAGGCACACAAAATTTTGCGGTTTTCGATGCCTAGAAAAGCATTTTTAGACTGTCGCGGGCCTCAACAAAACTTATACTGTTTACAGTTTTATTTTTAGTATTTTATATTGCCGCTTTTCAACTTATGGATACTTATTAGAATTCTCGCCGGGTTCATAAGTCCGTGCTTGTACGAAAATAAAATAATGATCATAGTCATCGTGTCACAAATTCGTGGAAAATTTGTGATTTAGAGAGGATAAACGCCAAAGTAAAGGCGTTTACGACCCAAATAATAGGTCACAATGATGAGAACAATCGGCGATTTTAGCAAAAGACAATTGCACGCGTTATTGGCGACTTTTTCAGTTTTCGAAAAAATTCAGAAGGGGTGGGTATCTTTTTTAGATAGTTTCTGTGGTCTGAAAAGTCGAATAGGCGTTTCGACATAGTAAATGCTTTGATCTTTGCCCGCAAATTATGCTGGGCCTTACACGAAATCCATAACGTGAAAAGATACGTCCAGCGGTGGAAATTGTTTATAACCACTCTAGATCTAGTCAATTTTTTAGCGATAATAATTAATTGTTGTAAATTGTAATGAAATACAGTTTGCCTCTTTCACTTCTCTCGCAAGTGCCAACAATAACACTATTGAAAGATTTTGACAATGAGAGAATCATATTAAATTGTACAAAAATGAATTAGTTGTGCAAAACCGTGGCGCGTGATCTGCGGTGCGTCTGAAGACGGAGTATTACCCGTGCGGGCGCGCATGTTTCACGAAAATGTGAGGTGCTCCGAGGGCGCTCTGGTCCACATTATTGTAAGAAAACAGTTATAATATCGGTAACTATTAACCGACCCCCCCCCCCTCACGGGTGTCCGCCCCTGGTAAGCAGCTACTTTTTTTGTAGGAAGGTCTATTTATTTCCTCATTGCCTACCCAATTTATCACGCCCTGAATGAGATGTTGGGCATCGAACTCGAACCTCAGATATGTAATCTGTGATGACAACACAGTAAAGACCAACGCTTTAGCTACTGCGCACAATCGCGGCTATTGGGTCCAATTTGTTTTAGCTGAATTTTATGTTTATTTTTGTGATTTTGTTAACTGGAATTATTGTTTTTTGTGTGAAATTGTTTTATTGTCACCTTACCCCACAGACTTTTATTTTGCATTCACATGCTTCAATGCTGTGACAGTATCAATTCATTTGAATGTAACATGATTGTTTCTGCTTTAACAGGACAACAGAAACGATTTTTATTGCTGGGTTTGTCATAAAGAAGGTGAAGTGTTATGCTGCGAACTTTGTCCAAGAGTTTTTCATGCTAAATGTTTAAGCATGACTGAGGTAACTTATTTGTTTGGTATTTGCTTTGGGCTTATCATTGTGATTGTTTGATTATTATATTTGAACTTGTCTAAAAATCTAAATTGGATTATTGGTATCGCTCTAATAGCTTATAGAACTCCATGATGTGTATATGCGTTTCTTATAACTTTTTAATACGTATTAGTTTAAATCAGCAGTTTCCAAACTTTTTGTTTGTGCGGTGCCAAAGTATCAGGGAAGAAAAAAAAGGCGATCTAACACGAAAAAGGAAAAATTTGATAGAAATGATAAAAGTTTTTTATACAACGAATTTATACACTTTTTGCTCTGATGAACAATGCTGTAAGGAGCTTTTGATTTTTACCGGAATTTTTCCTGTTCAGCATTGTCTACCAACTTTATTACCCCCCGAGTAAGGGGGTAGGCTTGAGATTTTAACCAGTTATACCTTCATATCTACCGTAAGTCAAACGCTTTTACAGTAAATTATCCAGTTTTTTCAAGTTTTTTTGTTAATATAGGAGCCTGAAGGTGATTGGTTTTGTCCCGAATGTGAGAAGATAACTGAAGCAGAATGTAAAGAAACACAAAGTCGAGCAATGTCAATGTTAACAATTGATCAGTTCTCTCTTCTGTTGAAATATGTAATCCAGAGAATGAAACTTCCTATGGTATGTTGGATGTGTTAAGATTATCGCTACGACAGCGAGAAAAAGATTCCATTTTCAATAGTTTTTCATATTTTGTAAGCTATGACAAGTATCAATAAATTATAATGTTTTTCGTTTGTTTTCAAATTCATTTCGTGACTGAAATTAATTCTGTGGCTATTTCTTTAGTCGGAACCATTCCATGAACCAGTTGATACAAAGATATTCACAGATTATTATGATTATGTTTTTCATCCTATGGATCTGAGTACGATAGAAAAGAGTGTTAAAAAGAGAAAATATGGATGTCCTGAGGTATGATGCTGTCAGCATGCAGTGTTGATTTGATAGTTTTGTTTTGCCTCTCAATTTTAAGTACAGCTTTGATTGTTGTAAACTCTTAAAGATTTTTTAAATTGCAAAAGGAGTTTTCTATACCATATATAGATTGTTGTAATTATAAATGAAGTGAAAACCTCAAATAGACACCGAATAAAGTTTAGCAAATCTTGTTAGGATATATTGCGAACTGACTTAACAATAAAATTGAAATTGTGACTGGATTTATGAACATGTATATACGGATCAATGTGAACTTTTTCACTTTTTCTTTGTTTGGTGCTTCGGTAAATAATTAGTATTCCAGCTGAACAATATGAATTGAACGTTTTGTGGTGATAGGTATATTGAACTGAAAACCTTAAATAGTTACAAAACTTTAATGATCCATCGCAAAATCATGGCAAATACTTTGTTGGTAGCAACCCTGCTCTGCCTATTTCAAAAATTAGGGGGAAATTCTGAGTACCCAATAATAAAACTGCACAGGTGATAGGTTTCGGTATTGCCTTGAGCATCAATTTTACTTTAATTAACCATTTATGTTTATATTAAACTGTGATTGTGAAAAATTTAAAGACTATATCACTATTTTCTGAATATAAATGGTCATTTATTTTAAGAAACCTCATTGTGTGTAGTATGCTTTACTTCTGGAAACAATCCAAATTTTTTTATGTAGAACTGTAAGTTGGTATATTGAAATTTACTCATCATGATCACATTGATTGCAGGCATTTATCCTCGATTTCAAGTGGGTTATTCACAATTGTATTATATACAACAGTCAACAATCAAAATTAACACAAACAGCCAAAGCTATGTTGAAAGTTGCTGAGAGGGAGGTTAGTCATCAGTCTTAATAATCACATTATTTATGTCGTTTGTAAATTCAAATTATTTTATGTTTTGTATGAATTTAACTTTTGTATTCATTATACTGTTTTTGATGCTTTTGCTTAATAGCTGAAAATAGCTGAATGGTGTAGTGAATGCATGGTACTCCCCTAGTGTGTGTACCAGATTAGGGTTAGGCCATAATTTTATTCCGATTTTCCTTATTTCAGTTCTATACGAGTTCGGGGACTGTCTATGTTAGCCAAGTGAATATACCCTCCTCGCATAGAATTCAGTCCCTTTACACAACATGATGTAAAGTAGGCGAACAAAATTAGTTACCTCCATATTGGTACACACACTTCTGAGCGCCGAATGCCGATATTAAGTTGTTGGTGCATCATGTGTGAAATCAATCACTATTAAGAACAATGATCCATTTTTGCATGTTTGCACTTCATACACAATGGCTTTCTTTTTGGATATACAGTATATGTCATATGCTATTGTCACTATTGATAAGAATCTTATTTATCAAATTGTTCAAAATTTTGTTCTATGAAAATTTTCAACCTTCAGACCGGAGATGTCCAAAATGAATCAAGTATTTGAATCAAAATTAGGTAGGCTATATACAATAATTTAAATTTGTGATTTAGGAATAATTTGGAAGTCATTTGCAAATATCATTTGATTGCGCTATGATTCAAAAATCGCTGTCTTTCAGTTTATGAAAATTGTAGAAATGAAAAAAATAAATTGTATCGCTGTTTATCTTCAACCTTTGTGTGTTTCTGAAAAATAAGTTTAGTATACCTTGGCATCCGTATGTTTTTCGTTGAACATTTAGAATATATTCCATATTCGAAATTATTATTTCAGAATGCATTTCGAACAGTAGATTGTCCGGTTCCCAAGAAAAATAATTTTAGCCAACCCTATGTTCACATAATATTTGGTAATGAAAGTTGACCAAACAAGATCTTACTTTACCTCCAAGGCACCAACATTGTAATTTCTCATCATAATCAAATTAAAATTGTCAAAAAAGTATTTATATTCAACTATTGATCCAGGTTTTGTTTTAACTGAGGTCCATGTTTTCAATATTGATTTCTTACACATGTTATCTCGGAAATGGCATGCTATCGAATCAGTGATGTCCAAAGCAAATCAATGCGGTCGGTGCATTGTGATAAACATTAGGAACACGATTGCCATCGTACCTCTAATTACTCTGTCCAAGTTCACAAGTTCGAATCTAATGGGGGATAATTATGTGCAACAGGATTGCTGGACTCCTTGCTGTTGTAGGGCGGTTCTTTTAATCACTGTTTAACTATGTTTTACTCCACCATCAAGTCACCATTCATCTATAACAAATACCGGGTTGACTTGTTTCCTGACATGGAATGGTGTCCATACAAGAGACTGTGGTACTCTCGTATGTGATTAAGCCATTTTATCGGCTTCCCTAAATATGAAAATCCAATCCACATTCGAAGTTTGTTTAATTCCTTGAAGTAAATTCTTGACTCAATAGTAATAATTTAGAATATTTCCATTTGAAAAATGTCATTTGAAGCGATTGACATCTCATGTTAAAAAGAGTCAATCAGAATAAAATTGCGTTGCCAACTGCCATGTCTATAAATTGATATTGATCTATGTTAAATTCGTTATTGAACATGACTTTATTTAGAATATATTGCTTGCTTGAATATATCATTTCAGAAAGTATTTAGGATTAAAACATTCGGTTCTGGTTATACTTGCTATGAATTTATGAATTTTTGAGTGCAATAAATGGACAGCTTGCCAAAACCTTGTTCTTTTTATGTTTTTTCTGCCAGTGAAGTTTTGGGTGATTATGAGTAGTTGACATGATCTCCATTATTGTTCAATATTCATTAGATTGCAATACAGTGATACCTCGGTAGTCGAACATAGTTTGCTTAGGATTGGTATTCGACTACCGATGAGTTTAAGTATCGAAACATTTTTTTCTTATTAAGAAACAATGGTAATTATTTTAATTTGTTCCTACGCATTCCAAAATATTATTAAACAAAGCGTGTACCTAAACAACAATAATTATTCGAATGTAATAATAATAATAATTAAGCATAATAAGGATAAAGTATAACAAAATTGTATCAGTTACTGTGCGTTTGAGCAAATTTCTGTGGGTTCTATAGGATTCGCTTGTTATGTGGGATGATGTCATAAAAAATTGCGCCACTGACCAAGGCCCTGTACAAGCAGCCACTGATATCTAACGAAATGTGAAGATCTACTATTTCGGCATAGCTCGCCCAATTTATTACACCCTCTGAGCCTGAGATTTGTAACCTGCGATACCAACATGATTACTGGTAGGTAAATGCTGAACTTCCTAAGTGCCACAGAATTGATAATACAGCTATAATAACTCATTTGAAATTGTATTTGGAAAAATATTAACAATTATTCAGTATTATTGAAAAGTAGAGTTCTTTCATGCTGTAAAGTAATGTTGGTATAATTTAACCTATAATTTTATTCTGTATAAATTTCTGATGAGTGAAGAATCTCGACTATGCAGAAAAATATTTTTCCAATGTTCGAAATCTGTTTGCTGCTTTTCAACGAAACGATTTCTCTTATCAAATTATATTTTTCTTTGTTTTACAGTTGAATGAGATTGAAGTTTGTCCAGAATGTTATTTGAATTCATGTCGAAAACGAGAGAATTGGTTTTGTGAACCATGCAAAGAATTACATCCACTTGTGTGGGCTAAATTACAAGGATTTCCACACTGGCCTGCTAAGGTAGGGAGGAAATCAAACATGTAATATGATAAAATAAACCATAAAGAAGACACCCAATTGAAACAATTAAAATTTTTGATGTAATATTCAAATAGTGATTACGGTAGTTTTTTTTATACAACGTATTTATATGTTTTTCACTTGAGACAAATCTCCTAACAGCCACCGATTGGTAAGAACCTAGTGTGGTTTGGAAGGACCAAAATCTTTCCATTTCAGCATGTATTACACCCTGGATTCGCAGGCATGGGACTTGAACCCAAGATTTTTGACCTTGCGATGCTATCATAGGTCTAACGCCTTAACCCCTAGACCACTGCGTTTTGTATAGAATTTTGTCAGTCGTTATCAGACTTTATGATCATTGCTTCGGTATTTCTAAAATTGTTTTGAATATTTTATCTTGAGAAAATTGTCAACCCACATTCCTATAAGCTTTGATTGGCATGAAAACAAATTAGGACATTGGTACATCCTTACACATCTCATATGTTCAGCAGTTGCAGAATATTTTTGAATATACATTTATTGAAATAATGTTTTTGTTACTAATGAGTAACGACATCATTCAAATAGTCTATCTGTTAAGTTATATTCAAAACATTTTGAAAATGTAATAAAATGTATGGATTATTCATTTTTGACCATTCTTGATATCTACAAGTCATTTTGTTTCCTTTATCATAGAGATGTTTTTTACAATTTATTAAGGCATTAAGAATAGAGAAAGGAATGGTTGATGTTCGCTTCTTTGGACAACATGATAGAGCATGGATTCCATTGTCTGGATGTTATCTTATATCTAAAGAGCTACCTTTGCCAGTCAAAAATAAAAAGAAAAGTAAAGGGCCGGGAATGAAAGGTACTTGAATCAAATGTTACTATATCAGCTTAGTGCTTGCTTGCTTAACTATTCTGTTTTCTATCAACATTACATAATGCATACACTATTGCTTTGGTCATTGAACAATGATACTAACCCGAATGTCACTTAAAAATCAACCAATTTTATTCCATGCCTATTTCGCACTACAGAATTGCAATTGTGGACTTTGTGACCTAGTGGTTAATAAAGTAGACTTAACTTTGTATGATGATAACTTCTAACAATGACCTTTGCTTTACCAGTTATGACTTTTTTCAGTAGCAAGGTGTTAAGGTGAGTAGTACATGGTTTAAAAAGCAAACTCCCGACAAAAATCAGTTTTGATGAATGCCTCATTTAATTACAGTTAATCTCTAAGCGTTTTGTTTGGGATATGTTTAAAAAAGCAAAATAATTTCAATTATTACTCATCTATCAATTTCCAAACCTTTTACAATCGCTGTCCATTGTAATTCATAGTCAATATCATTATTTTGCAGGGGGTTTAGATGGCGCAATGCAAGAGATGCAAGGATATATTGAGAATATCAAGAAGATAACAGGAGAATTTGAATTTGCTCCACCACGTACATTACTCACTCACTGTGATTTGTACAGAAAAACAAGTATGTTTTTTTACAATTTCCTAGGATAAAAATGATCTGATCTTCAAAGTATTTTAAGCAGCAATATGTTGAAAGATAATTTATATTCAATATAATTACTTATAAAAAATATAAAAACAGGGGTGTGCAACCTGCGACCCGCGGGCCAGATTCGGTCCGTCAAGGGAAAATTGTGCGGCCCACTGGGAAGTGCCAATTTTGAATTATGTGTGGCCCGTGAAACGAGTTTTTAATTTAATTAGATACATGCGGGTAATTCCAATTCCTTTGCGTTCCGAAGCAAACACCTGAATCCAATTTATTATCTATGCCTATGACTTAACAGCTAGCTTGTGCAAACAATGCATGTGACAAGATCAATAGCCAAAACTTTTGTGCATGCAACTACTAGATAGCCCATGTTAAATGAAGATGCGCCCTGCGGTTTAACCCAATTATTTCTATCTGGTCCTCCTGTATTAATAAAGGTTGCACACCCCTGATTTAAAATATCTTTTTTTTGTAAATGTTTATGTCCAGAGTTTTTTACAAAGTACTTGGGATTCACCATCTTACAGCTGTTTTCTGATCGTGTTGACATGATCTACTTTAATAAGTCACGCATCAATCAATATTCACTAATATACAATTCTACGCTATAGTTTCTCATAGTCTCATTAGCTATTGAAATTTTAGTGGTTTCCCATACCTTCGCTCAAAGTTCATACTCCTTAATATATATGTGTGTGCCTGTGGGCTGTGACCTTGTGTAAGCAAATTTTCTAACATTTGAATTGGGCCTAGTTGAACTGTTGATTCTCTATAATAATAAAAAAGAATATTAACTGAGAAAATGTTTATTCCGAACATTCTGCATTAGCATATTTTGTAATTTTCTGTTGAACATGATAATTTTCACATTTTAGAATCTACTCATTTTCATATTCAAATATAGTAATTAGAAGATATTCAGAATTGTAAATTATTCTGTTTTAGCCATCTCTGTTTCTATTAAAAAAATTCTATCATATACCATCGCATATAAGCTGACCCCCCTAAAAACAACCCTCTAATGTTGGATTTATAAAAATTTGCATATAAGCCGACACTACAAATCGTACGCTATTATCGTGAGAACTCAGCATGGTTCGAGTTGTAGCTGTTGGAATTAAGTTAGCATATTGTCATTTCGTTTAAGTGCGATCAGAGTTATGCGCATATGAGCCGATTTCTTAGTTTAGCAACTTTCAAGTTTTAAACTCGGCTTATATGTGAGGATATACTGTACTGGTAAGATTGCAAGATTATTTCCTTATATGTCATGACAGCAGAAATCAGATATGAAATTTCATATTAAAAAAACTCGTAACTGATGTTTTTAATATTTATTTATTTATTTTTAAGTGTCATCTGGTCAAGCTGGAAAGCAACAAGCAGAGCTTGAGGTAAATCAATATTTTCTATTTTCATTTGAACAAAATTTGATCTCTTATACAATATCTGTAAGATGAAAAAATTGCTTTATTTTTCCTCTTTTTTTGCATGAGATATAGTCTATTTATAGTTTGCAAACTCTTTCACTTTTAACGATTTAAAAAAATTTGCAGTCGGTACTGCTATATATGGTATATTTAGGATTCTTGTCCTTCCAAAATATTTGATTTGATAGGAATTTAAAAAAATTGAAAGGTATGTGCTTTAGAAATCAGATTGATCAACATTATTATTTTTTATGTTTTATTTATGGGGTTTTGTAAAATTTGACGTAACTCACGATTTCACCATAATATAAACTCATTCGTACTACTTTTAAAATCCGAGTTCTGGAATATCTTTTTTTTTTTTGCTGTATTGATATTGACACTCTTTGCGCCCATACTTTAATTATGGGGTTTAACCCCAAAAGACTACGCTTTAAGAAAAAGAGGTAAACATATATTTTTGATTTTTGAACTCTTTCAACTTTTCGCTCAAATACTTGGTCTCTGTGTATATCATTTCACCACAGTTGAAAAAGCAATCATCATTTTGTAATTTTCTAACTGTCAAACTTGCATTTTTGTCTAATATCCCTTGACTTCATATTAATAACCTGTTTCTTTTGATAACAGGCCAAAGGAGCAATTGGAACTTCAACATCGAGAACAGACAGCGGCACTGGAATTAAAGGTTTGTTCAGTCTTAAGATTGGTAAAAACTTTCTTAGTGATTAAGTATGGGCAAGAGAAAAGCATCTCATGTTCTTGCATGATCTGATTGTGGTTCTTGTAAATGATTCTGGTAATGATGGAACGAATATCTTGTGCAGTGACCAAGAAAAGGTTGATCTTTTCGCAAAAAAAGCCTTCGTTCATAATACTGTTTTCATAACTCTTGTTGTGGGTTGAAAAGGAATAGTCTTGCAATGTTCTGCATCTCACCATTTAGAATTGAGTTGGGAGAATGGCAGCATAAAGTGATTTTTATGGAAAATAGAAGTTATATTTTTATTTGTTTCCTAATTGATTTTGAAACTTATCAATTCTGTTAATTAACATGTTAGCAAACAAATAGGTTTAATTCATTCTCAAGAGATAAAATTTCAATTCCAATTCCAATAAAATTCCAATTATTTTCAACAACTGCTTTTTTGGCATTCCAATTTGTGTTTTGTGAAGTTTTATGTAGAGCTCGTCCCAAGTAAGGCTTTAAATGATAAGTTGGCCTTTGCCTTTGGTACTATTTGTCCATGAGTTTGATAATGGCTGGCTATAAACAAGATCGCTTGCTTGTGATGTACATTCACTAAATACTATCTATCATGACGAAATTGAATTTCATATATTACACTGTGTGCGATAAATATGCCAAGAACTATGTAAAAACCAAAAAGTGTTCCATGGTGAATTAGTGATACTGACGGCTTTGAAAGTATATGAATGTAAACACAACCAAAAATATTTAGCGTAGTAAAGTTGACTAGGGTTTTCAACTTTTCGAAACAGTAATTTCCGTAAATTTTATATTCTCGATTATTTCTATATTCGAGAATTCACCGTATGAAAATATTATATTTCAATATTCTGTGTGCTTTGGTTTAGACATCCGTGCCTTCCCCACTTGCTATTTCCAACTTCTAAAAAAAAAAATTTTGGATTTATAAATGCATATTATATAGAAGTTTTGTGTGGTATTATCATTAATAAAGACTTTTTTGATACCTTACAGCTAAAGTTGAACTCAAAGACATGAAGGATCCGACAAAACTCAGAGGACCCGGGTCAACAACTCCTAAGAAGGGTAAAATGGTGACAACAAGTGGGGAACATCCCAATCGACCTTTTGCTACTAAAAAGAAAAAAGCATCTATGGAATTTTTGAACAAAACTATAGAGTCGTGTAAAGCATCACTAGGAATTGAAAAAATACAGGTATGCTGGAATAAACTAGTAAGCACATAAGCTTTGAAGTATATTGATTTATGTATTTTTTCATTAATTCTATGGCATGTATGGGAAATGGATAACTATTGTATAACTATAATGGTATATAGGGTAAAATCTAAGATTTAAATATCATGCACCCCTTAACCCAGGGTGAAATAAATGGGGTAGGCACTTCTGAATAGGAAAGATTTTGGTTCTTGTTTTTGATTTATGTTTTTTTCATTAATTCTATGAAAAGTATGGGAAATAGATAACTATTTTATATCTATGTTTGTATGTATGGAAAAATCTAGGATTTAAATCCAATACACCCACTAACCCTGGGTGAAATAAGTGGGGTAGGCACTGCTGAATAGGAAGATTTTGGCCCTTCCAAACAATATGTAGATCCTTACCTAGCAGTGGTTGCATGTGCAGACCCTTGTACAGAGCAAATGAAGTATATGTACATAGAATGAAAAATACTCCCTTATTGTTCTGATTAAATGTATTCTTGGGGATACATTTTTGTCTATGCTATTCGAATCTGAATTTCCCTATATTGTCTTAACCAATTCTGTCAGAATAATTTTGGAATCAAATAATAAATTCTCAGGATGTCAAGATGAATTCAGGATCAGAAGAAACAACATCTTCATCAGATGATGATGATAACGATAACGAAGAAGGAAAAGAAAAAATTGATGGTATGAGTCTATAAATTTTGTAAATCCTTTTGTTTTCATATTTCAATTGTCAGTATGGAGCGCTCATATATGAACAAAGACTAGATCAGTGGATCTCAAACTTCCACGATGTGTGGCCACTTTCCAACAACTCTCAACATTTGTAGTCCCCACCATTCTTCATTAAAAAATTAGTTTGGGATTTTGATATGTTTCCATCAGTTATTTTATTCCTTGTGTTAAATAGAAAAAAGGCCAGCAAATGGAGGCAAAACAAGAAATGCATTACAGTCAAAGAATCAAACAAATCATAGTCAATTCACTTTAAATTCAATCATCGTGAATGGTACCTAGTGAAGGCCTTCTCATATCACTCCGTGTCCCCCAGGAGGGTACTACGCTCTCAATTGAGAAATCGGCGGTTTAATAGGTATTTCCTTTGAAATACTAAAAAATCACTTGTGTTCGCTAACCTCTGTTCAGCCGATAAACAAACTGCAACTAGTGTCTACTTCTATTGTTATGTTACAATAGAGGCAGACACTACGCAACAGGAAGTAAATGGCATAGAGAGGTAAAATTAATTTATTAATTCATATAAGGATTTAAAATAAGAAACAATAAAACATTTTAATAAATTCATTATGTAGAATTTTCGGTCTGCATTCAGCAAATCGACACCCCCTTGCAATCAAATTTTGTGCAAAGATTTTTTTCACTAATTGCAGTTATGTGTAATTCACTACCTCATTTAGTTGCTACCATAATTTTGCCTAGAGTCCTGTAGCTTCGTTCCTGAGGGAGTACAAATGACTTTGCTTTGAGCCAATTCCAGAAATAAAAATGTGTTAAATCAGTTTATTTAATCAACATGGACATCTTCGCTGTTCTGCAGGGTAAACTCAAAAAAAAACAGAACCCATAAATTTCTTAATTATAGGAAATGAAGGAATATCATTTAACACTTGAACGTTTGTTTGCGTTTTGATAATGCTGTGCACAAAACTATGTTCCTTCTAGAGTAAGTTCCAAATAACCTGATTTCTCTTTTTAGGTCATCGTGTATTTATACAATAGTTGCTTTTTCAGATACCAAAAGTGCAAAAGATACACCAAGTACTTCAACTGCTAAACCATCTGCAGCACCAGAAGATGATGATTCAGATGCAGAGCTAGTGATTGATCTCGGGGACATGGATGACACTACCAATGCTGATGCTAATAAGGTTTGAGTTGCTACTATTGTTCTTCATCTTCTGATCCCTTATGTCGTCAAGCCATAAGGTAATCACATGCCCAGTACTTCACCCATCTGTGCCTATGGAGCCTTGTTCTGAACAATGCTATAAAATAGAAATTGAGGGTTTCCAAAAAAGGACAAATGTTGAAATTTTAAAAAACTCTTTTAAAACTAATGCTTTTCAAGCTGGTATCTGGCCGGTGATCATAATTTGAAGCAATACCAAGTGAGTAACAGGAGTCATCAAAATAGATGGAATGCTATGAGGTATATTTGTTATACACATGCATTTTTTATTTTGTATTTTACCAAAATTATAGAGTTAATTTGTTGATATTTTAGTAAGAAATTGGTCCGAAGCAGTGAAAACCATATTTTTCTTCTTTTCAGCTTAATTTTCTAAGGCATTCAAAGGTTTCGAGTTGTGACCCATTTTCTATCTTTGCCATACATTTTCTAACTAAGCTGCATTTTAAAATATTTAGGTTGTTTCCATCTGTAGCTGTCACTCCATTTATAACACACAGCATGTTACATAGTATTTTTAGTATACAACACTTATTCGCGTGATATAGAATCAAGTTTGATTGTTTACAGGCTGGAGAAGGAAAATCAAATGAAGTCATCTCCAAAAAGCGTAAAAATGACGACGGTACAAAACCACTCAAATCAATTTTGCTCAATTCGGCAAAACCCACAGAAAAAGAGGACAGGAAAAAAATGTTAGCTAAAGCACTATCAGAAAAGATAGGTTCGATTTTTCATATCTTTCAAGTTTCAATGTAGAATTAATTTTTGATTCTTATGAGAATGAACGTTAGTCTAAATAAGTTTTAAGATAAACTTTCAAAATTTATTCTAGTGAGGGAAGCTAATAAATCATATCATAATAACAGGCTTTCGTCTCGCTTCTTGCAGTAAAGAAAGTAGCCATGATATTAATTACCTTTTTATGGCGAGAAGCAGAAATGTGGAGTTTTAGAATATTAACACTCAACTCAAACTACTACAAACTTCCGAGTACTCTCAAATCCAGGTTGATGAAATGCTCAATGAAACAACAAAGCACTTATTTCGACTCTACTACTCAAGCAACTTCTGTTTTTATTCTTTGTAGTTTTCAAATCAGAAAATACTGTTTCACACAAATGTGTGATGGGAAATTGACACACTGAAAGAGAACTTCTACGGAACTCCCTCTTAAAACTCACGAACCCAAGAAGTGTTTTGTGCAACTTTGGTTGAAAAGGCACTGTACTATGCAGTAATTTTAATCATTTTTATGACAATTCAAATCTCCTCAATGGATTTTCAAGTTATAAGACTGAAACATGCTTTCTATCATTTCTTAGCGACTGGCAAGCGGAAGCATGGGGTTGAAGATTCGCCTTCTGGGGCTTCACCCAGTACTAAAATACGAAGAACACACGAAGATAGAAGAAGTGGATCTCCGATTGAATTAATTCAAAAATCTCTTCCTGGGAAATCTGGTTTGAAAGATAAGGAGAAAAAGAAATCCCACAGTGGGAAGTACTTAGAGAAAGATGGTTCTGGAAAGGTAACTTAAACACTCTATTATAGATTGATGGTGTCTATAAAACTATCCAGATTTTGGCAGTGGACCACCATAAATGTGAAAGCGTGAAATAAAGAATTGAATGATCCTTTATATCACTAAAATACATATCATTTTTTGCATGTAAAAATCGCTTTCGTGTGTAAAAATTTATTATTATTATAAAATATAAATGAGAAGTAAGTACGATCTCCTCATAAATAATGTAGAAATACCGAATTTACTACTGGGCTATCGGGAGGTTGATAATGCCGTGCAACCTGAAATCTGTGTGCCTTTTAAGAGGGGAAGTGTTTCTGTGTCATTTTCTCCCAGTTGCGTTCAATTTGTCACTCTTATTTTCTGCCACATGACTTCGTAAACAACATCCTACGCCTGTTATTGTTTGACAAAGACAAAACAAAAACCAACATTTTCTTTCATTTTGGCTAACAATGCAGCTTATGGCAATGCAGATTGATTATTTTATTTTCATGTTAAACTGTTGTTGATTCGTTGTATTGATGAGTTTTAAAGTAACATCTTTCTGTTTCTATCACAAGGTAAAAAGTGGAATACTCAAGTCATCAGAGAGTGGACTACAAAGAAAAGATAGTTACCCATCAGAGAAGAGATTTCCTGATGTAAGATAAATCATTTTTTTTTTATATATCAATTAATTACCTATATCAACACACTAATTTTTTAAATTTCATTCAATTTCCAGTCGTCCAAACACAAGCATAAAGATGGAGCACAGAAACTTGGAAGCAAAAAACCTCCAGATAAATCTGGAAAGTTAGATAAGGTGAATATATTAATTTTTATTGTTAGGAAATTTTTTAATTACCAAACGGTCCATTGCATAACATAATTTATCAGTGGGTTTGTCACTGTGAATCAGAGGTTCTCAGACTTCTCGAACTCATAAGTTTTTTTGTGCTTTACCGAGATTTTACAGGATTGTGCCCAGGTCGTTAGTTCGAAAAAAGACGAATCGGTATAAAAAAATGTGTAGAGCTCGACTGATATCATTTTTATGGCACCGATACCAATATACTGCCAAACTAGTGGCCGATAACCGGTATCCAGGGTTGTCCAAAACCAATCGAATATTTGAATACATTCCAATTTCATTATATTCGATATAAAAAAATTCGAATTTAGTAATATTGTTTTATCTGTGTTGTTTGTTATCAGTTGAGATATCGAACATCTGACGACTTGAAATCTCTAATATTTAAAAAATTGATAACAAACAACACGGAGAAAACAATGATCTTAATATTTCTGTCGTATAGTTGCCCCTAATTTAGAATGTATTCGATATTCTGTATTTGAAAATGTTTTCTCAGAATGTATTCGGAATACTGAAATATTCGGTTTTGGCATTTATAACAAGACTAGAACTGAAATACACACAAAACACAGATCTATGTGAGTCAGGAAGACCAAGAACCCCGGGTTGGTGCGGAAGGCAATCCAGTTTTGATTTATAGCCCTTAGCTTTTATGACTGCGAATTTTATTCGTCCTCATTATTTTAGTCCTATGTTCCAACTGGTGCTGATACACGTAAGTTATTTAACGGTGGCCGAATTCCTCGCAAAAATCCGTCAACTAGCATCGGTGATGAAGAACAGATCAGTAATAAAGATCCAAACGATGATAACAACATGGAAACCAACCAAATACATGAAACAAGAAGAAGAAGTATGTTTGAGATAAATTTTTCGTGTTCAATTTTGAAAAATCTGAATCTGATTTTCTTGGTCAGTTCAGGGGATGTGAAAGCAATTCAATAATAACTCTTTTTTGCTCCTCTTCGGTCACGTTTGCGTTTTCAAAGTGTTAGACAATGTTGGCATCTCAGGTTAAACCAGGATGTCATCGCGAGTTAAAATCACATGCCCACCACCTCGTCAAAAGTGAAAATTAGGTTGGCAATGCTGTCTGAAAGAAAAGTATGCGTGGCTGCTTGTGCAGAGCCCTGTTTGGAGCTGGCACACAATAATACATAACAATAAATTTATAGTTTTAGTATCTTTCCATGGTTCAGTGGTTGCCGATAACTTTGTTCTAAGATTCGTCTCTTAGGTAGTAGGTGGAAAATATTCTTTGAGTGTATTGTTTTGAAACCAGGGGTGTGAAACCTTTAATACGGCAGGGTCAGATACAACTATCTGGGTGAAACCGCAGGCCGCACCTTTATTTAACAAAGGCTTTCTAGTAGTTTCATGCACAAAAATTTTGGTTATTGTTATTATGGCATGCATTGTTCACTAGGCACAAACTAACTGTTAGAGCATTGTAACGTCATAGGCATAGATAATAAATTGGACTCACATATAGACTTGGAGAAAATGGAAATACTCGCACGTGCGAGATTAAACTAAATTAAAAAATCATTTCGCAGGCCGCACACCATTCAAAATTAGCACTTATCTGCGGACCGCACACTTTTTCTGCATGAGCCGTAGGTTGCACACCCCTGTCTTTAGACGACAACTTTTTTCCAAGACCAAAATAAAATTAAAGATTGTCTGAACTCTGAATATTGCATAAATTTACATATTGTACGTTTACCAGGTTTGGAACAGGCTCCATCAAATCCACATAGCAATGGGCCAAGACATGTTGGTGCTGGTTTGAACAGACAATTATCGCTTGAACAATCAAGGAAGAGTATTGATGAAAATACAGCCATGGAAAATTTGAAGAAATATAGTGACAAGTAAGGAATTATATTGAGCTTTTTCCACACTTTGTATATTTCCTTCATTTTATACTGCATCTTAAGGGTAAACCACTTATTTTGTGACCCATAACGTGTTTTTTTTGTTGCTGTCATGTCACGACTTATTAAATGTGAAAAACATACTAACATGTCAGTGATAAAAATCGATTATAAAACATTGTCAACCCCCATTTCACTCCCGGGAGAGGGAAGAGAATAAGACAGTTTAATCATCTTGTCATCTGTTTAACAGTACATGTCGGGTATGGTATAGGATTAGTTAGCCAGTTACTTGTTTCAGATGGTTGGACTCAATGGTGGAGGAAGCTGTAAACGGCCGATGGTAACATGAACCACCTTATGGTGGTCCAGCAATCCTCTCACACATAATCATCCCTTATGGGATTCAATCCTGCGAACCCATGCAGGGTAATCAAAATGTGATGGCTAGCGTATTCCTAATGTTTAGCATGATGCACCAACCTCCACGCCAATCTAACAATAAACGAGCAACTATTGTACACAGCTACTAGCAACAAATGCTGTTACAAATAATGTTTCTGACATAACGATACAATCTCTTTATTTCTCGCAACATGTCTTGTTACAACGGTATTTTAAGGTGGCAGCAGAATATTTTAGGGGGATAACGGAACTAGGTTCCACTTTGTAGTTTGTTCTTTCCCCTATACAATGTTATTTGGATATTGAAGTTATATTAGACTTCAATTAGCAATTATTAATTAAATTATAATTTTATTTTTGTCTTGTAGGGTGATGGACACTGTTCAGAAAGTATTTTATGAAATGTATACTGATATGATGGTTCCAATGCGAAATGCTGGTAACGAATCTAACAATGTAGCAACTGCAACCGCCATGCATGAAGTTGCACAGATGAGACTTGAACTTGAACGTTTGAAATGGATGCATGAACAAGAGATTGCTGAACTGAAGCACAACCATGGTAATGATTCTTTAATAAAAAAAAATTTTAAATAGTTTTATGAAAGTAATAATTACAATGGTAATAGGATAATAATTTCATATTTATCTGAGAGGACCGAAAAGGGAATAAGATGGCTTAATACTATGCAAACATGGGTCTCTCGTTCGGTTACCAATTCATATTAGATATGGGAATAGTTAACCAGTTATTTGTATCAGACATGTGGCGAAGGAAGTCGTAACCGACCAGTGGTTACATCAACCATCTCATGACTGAGTACAGGAATTGATGCACATGATTATCCCCATTATGATTCGAACCTGTGAATCCGCGTGGGGTAATCAGAGGTTCGGTGGCAAGCGTATTCCTAACGCTCAGCCCGATGCGCCGAGCCGCACTACTTAGGTAGTGTGTTGGTGTTAAACAATGGCCTGAAAATTGTGTTTATTCCGAATGTCAATTACTGTAACTGTGATTCAAAACAACTTATATTTCAGACCTTACTGTCGCTGAGATACGACAGAGCCTTGAATATGAGAAAAAACAACTTTTGTTGGACGCAAAAGTACAAGCAGAAGAAGCCAAAATTCGAGCAGTTGATGAAGCTAAACGAAAACAGTGGTGTGCATACTGCAACAAAGAAGCTATCTTTTATTGCTGCTGGAACACAAGTTATTGTGACTATCCGTGTCAACAGAAACATTGGCCACAACATATGAACACTTGTACTCAAGCTAGGGAAAGCGGTGGAGGTGCGTCTACTGCTGGTGGAACCCAAGGTACAGGTAATACTTAATTTTTATTATTTTTAGTTATAGGTAAACCCTGATTTGGTAGTTTGTTTTTGGGACTTATCTGTTTGAGTGCATGTGCTGATGCGCATACTTGTGATTTAAGCCAGTATGGCCTTGTGCATGCATCCCGTATTCAGCATTAATAATTGCCAGCTTATCTATATTTCTTGGAAATATGAGACGAATATACATACATTTTACATATGGATTTAGAATAGGAAACCGTTTATCTTTTTGAAATTCAATTTTTTACAACAGAAACATAATTTATGTTAAACGTGGCTTCATTTTAAATATCCAATACCATGGTTAAATGTGAAAAAATAATATTATCTTATCCACTTTCTTGCTTGCCACTTTAAGTCACATATGAATTTTTTTGCAGCAATGGAGACCAGTCTTTCACCTCCATCCAGTACTGGAAAAGTTTCAACACTTTCCTCGAAACCTATAAGTACAAACGTATCGACTGCAAAACCAACATCAATGTTTGTGTCGCCTGGCAGAGCCACCATTACAATATCTGCCAGTCCAGGTCACCTGAGCCGACTCACATCAGGAAGTAAACAGACGCTTATTTTGCCTCCGAGTGTATCTGCTTCAAAACCAAGTTTTACTTCTACTGATAGAGGTCCATCTAAAATTGTTCCTTTATCTATTGAACCAAAACCCAAAACAACATCACAGACCATTTCTGAGGAAATTTCAGATAAAACTATGGCACCTGTGCAACAGAAAAGTGGTTTAGCAATAAGCGCTATTGGGGCTAGGCTAATGGCAGCGAAACAACGGACAAATATAAAAGACCCGGTTGCGTCGAACTCGAAACCTACAAAAACTGTAATCTCGAAGCGAGATTCCCCTGTCATTACAGAAGATAAGAAACAGAAAACATCCGATCATGTTAAAACAACATTAGATTCACCACTAAGTCCGGGTGCTAATCCTCCTTCTCCAAAAGACCCAGTTTCATCTCTAAAAACTATATCAAAAGTTGGTCAAAAATCAGAAGATATCACTTCAGTTTCTAAAGAAACTAAATCTTCAGATGAAAACTTAGATACTGAAAAACCCAAGTTACCAATCGTTTCTTCTTCTGAGCAAACTGCTGTTCAAATGTCTTCATCAGCGGCACCTGTTCTAGCTGTGAGCATGGCTACCACAAGTAAACCACAGATAAAAGGTTCTACCAAACCATATTCTGCAATATTCTCATCACCTTCTGCTGTGGCTTCCCTTATAGCGGACATGGGAACTCCCCTTTCTTCGACATTGTCGTCACCTGAATCATCGTCAAGTTTTTCTGACACTCCAGAGAAAAAGCCGGATGTATCAAAAGTTCAATTATCATTTGCTGGATCTGCTTTCACAAAAGTCGTGCCGGATGTCAATAAACCCATTCCTATACAAAGTAGCAAAGATGAAAAACCTAGCACAGCGAATTTGACATCGAAAATAGCAAGTGTACCAACTGATACAAGCTTGACTACATTCAAACCTATTGATGACAAAAATACAGTGGAATCTGCTAATACCAAGGTGGATGAAAAGCCTACGGAAACTGTGCCTTTAGTAGCTCCAGTTCTTGCTGATAGCTACTTATCGAACTTGCAAATGACGTTAGTTGAAAAAATCGGCACTTCTCCAATACCTCCGATAGTGCCTGATTCTCTCCCACCCACAGCTGGTAATGATGACAACAAAGACCTAAATATAGAGACGAAAAATCCAGATACTGATGAACTTATGGAGGTAAAAAGCAGTGGATGAAACAGTCTGTGAGACTGTAGATCTTTTATTTTAACATTCCATGCACGGTGACCCTAATAATATTCAGGTCTTTGTTAGATCTTGTAAGTTTTGAGTGACTGTGAAATTTAGTTGAAAAGTTAATAAAGAAGCAAAGGTGTAAAAAGCAAAGGTGCCCGAACTGCTCAGTTCGGATGTCACTATCTTTCTTTTGTAAGCCATGTATCTTTGCAATGAATCAGGCGTTAAATTGTCTCATGATTTTCAAAAACTGTTTTATTCCATAATAAATTTTAACATAATTGCACTATTTTGTTGAAGAATATCCTATCGTTTCAAAATGACTCTGCTGAGTGACATTCTGAATCACCAACTTTGGTTTTTTCTGTTGAAGTAGACTTTCATACTTCACACCTGCGGATTAAGCAGGCCAGTGACCTAGTTTTTGCTTGCCCTCTATCAATAAGTATGCCACTATAATTTACTAAGATTATATTATATCATCAAATGAAATTATTTTATTTTAAAAGTTCTTAGTTTATCGTAAACAATGAACTAGTTCTATTTCACTGGATTGAAGGGGTTACTTGCATTGATCTGTTTCATATTGAAAGTTGCAAGTTGCCTTTTCCATCCTTTATTTATACCACTCAACTTTGAGGCAAAAAGAAGAATTTTGTTTTAGGATTCTAACCCCACTTAAATTTGAGTTCCTGTTTAGTTTGAATTGTTACTGGCAATGGGGGGAAAAGGAAAAGCTTTCTAGTATTGCTGTGTGAAGTGCTGCTTCAAGCATGCTATAATGAAAAAACATTTAGGATTTGATGTTTAAAATACTAAGATCAACGGTTTATTTGTCTTATTGCAGACTGCCAATATTTTTCTGCTATCTGCACAATGAATTCCATTTGATTCCGACATGCATTTTACTTTGCAGTTGTCATCTTTATTACAAAACTGATTACAGTTGTATCATGATTATTCTTCATATTGTAAATAAAGTCTGTTAATTTTATTCCATGGAAATTTTTTTTGCAAACAATATCTTGGTAATGTACAATTCATATCTTTTTTGAGGAAGGTGTATTTGAGGTCGAAGGTAATATTCTAGAACAGGGGTCGGCAACCTTTCGCATTAGGAGATCCGTTTGGCATCGCTTCCGAGTCGCAACATCAAAAGTTTACAGCTACACAAACTTTTATGTCATTTTAACGATTTATTCCACTCAGTTATTGTGATTTATGCCCCTGAATTTCCCTGCACAGTTTAGAGATTTGAGAAAAACATCCTTGCCACATTTATCCGGTTGGGATCATGAACGATTTGAATTTCCACTGCAATCTGCACTGCGACCCTAAACCGACTGGATATTTACTAATTTTGAGAGTTGGCTTTCTACAAAGGATCCAACAAATCTTAGCAACAATTAAAATGAATACAGCTGTTAGCAGCTCTGCTGATTATTAAAACTCTGGAAAAACCACTTATGATGCAATAATCTTGTTCCTACTGAGAAGAAAATGTTTGTTTAGAGTCTTTTGACAGACTTTATAGACATCTGAGTGGTTGGGCAATTGTTCGTTCTACTGATAATGAGTTAATAATCATAAGAAGTGCATTATGTTCAATCTGAAGTGTTGCAGAAAGAGATTTAGAGGGTATTAGTTTTTGTTCAACGCATGCAACTGAGTACTACGAAGTCATTTTAAATGTTATCAGGAGGAAAAAGGTTATTTGGTTCAGATTTAAACAGCATTTTAGATGCATGGAACTACCATGGCTCTCGGCGTGTGATATTACCTCCACCGTAAAGTAGAAATGGTTAGTTAACATGATGGAACTTCACGCATCCAAGAGCTTACGCATCTCAATCCTTTTTTCATCGGGAAAACTGCATTTTTTTTTATTTTTGTGCTCTTGATACATCCAAAGTTGAAGCATCTACCGAGATGTGTCGAAGAATACCAACAATTTTAGAACTCTTTTTCACTCCCAAGAATTGGTGTAGCATAAACTCAATGATCTAATCTATAGCCGACTGATCATCATTGCCATAAATGTTAGAGCATAGAAGTAGGAACGATTTCATTTACGGTAAATCACTTAGGAAAGAAAATTGGCAATACAATCAGCTTGGACTATAAACACTTTTTCTCCTTGTTTTGTTGCCCACTGGTTGGGGAACACTGGACTATAGGGAAGGGTTATAAAGCGAAGAATGGGATAGGCTTTTAAAACTTATTCCAGGTTAATAACCGAGTAATCGTTCCACATGTATGGAATACAAATGTAAGGAGTACACTCCTTTTATATTTATATGTATGATCATCTCTCATAATGATTCGAATCAGTCAACCCAAGCAGTGTAATCAGTGACATGATGGCAAGAATAATCAAATAGATAATATAGTCACATCTCATTGTAGGGGAGCATTACTTGTGAACAAACTACAAACCTCATGTTGCCAAGTGGAATTATTATCCATTTTGATCATATAAATTAAGTACAATTTCACTATCATTTGTTTTTATTACACCAGTCTCAGACAAACACAATCATCAAATAATTTTCCTAGCTCAACGCTTTTTCATTTTTTTAGCTGGAATATCAGAACTTGATAAACCGCTGCTAAACTCCGACATTAAGTCAGGTTTTCGAGACATTTTATTTTTCATTATCTGTTTCCTACTAAGGCGTGGTTTAGTCAATTCTTTTGTCACTTGGATAATTTCTTTCTTTTGATCTTCTGAGTCTGATGGCTGTTCTTTTTCAACTTTAGTCAATTCGATCTTTGCCTCTCGATACTCGAATGAAGTTTTCACTGGTAACTGGCCGACAGATTTTTGAAGATTTTTCACAATATCATGTGGAGCATCCTGCAATCCAAAACTTTTAGCAACATGTCCAAGGTGTAAATATTTGACATGAAAAATTGATTTGAGTTCTGTGGGATATGTTGCATAAGCACGAATAAAAGACATATACGCAGTTCTTGCTAGCGTTTTGATTTTAATACTTTTAGAAACGTAAGATTCCATCTGGCTTTGTAAATTTGTGGCTTCACTCTTTGCTGCATCCAAAAGTCTCAATTTGAAATCTGCATTCTTTTTATTCACACCAGTTGCATTTATTCCCATAATTAAGATGTCATCAACATTCATTTCTTCAACTTGTATATTGAATTGTGTTAGCAGGTTGACATATTTAACTTCAGATGGTGTCAGCATCAGGAGAGCATTACCTGTGCATGAAAATAACAGTAGTAGTTTGAAACCATGTAGTAGGCTCAGTAGTTGGTGCATCTTGGTAAGCATTTAAATTCACTTGCCATCGGGCCTACGATTACCCCTATGTAGGTTTGAATCCTGTAGGGGATAATTATGTAGACAAGAATTACTGAACCCATCACCACTGGTCATGATAAAGTTCTTTAAAGTCTTAAAGTTTCTTTATCCCCGAGAGAGATAAATATGAAAAATTTATCCTAGTTTTGACCCTGGTCCAAAAACATGCATCTCCATATATTTTGTTATTTCGATGCCTATGCCAAAGACAAGGACAGAACAAAAGTCATTGGCAATCATGTTTATGCAGTGATTTGGTGCTCTGTTCAAAAATATGATAGCATGGCAGGATTAAAAATCTGTCTGACTCTACTAATAATGCAATAAATTTAGCAGAAAATGTAAGTGACCATTACTATCATGATCTATTCAACAGACGTAGATGTATTTTACTGTCAAAATCTTACCAAGTAAAAAAAATTTAATTTGATGCAAAATACAATTTCACTGTACATAATTCAAGTAACCTCATACCTTTGTTTCCTGCTCTTGCAGTTCTTCCAGCTCTATGAATATAATCAACCGGACTCCCTGGACTCGTGTATTGAATTACCCAATGTACACTTGGAAGATCCAAACCTCTCGCGGCAACATCTGTTGTCAGTAAAATACCAGTATCACTAATTGAAAAGCTGTGAAAAACTTCTTGTCTCTCGTTTTGTGACAGTCCACCATGAAGCTGTACAATGTTGACATGTTCTACTTCACTATCAGCCAGATCTATATCCAAAGGAATCTCCATGCCGTTATCAAGTTTTGGTTTTCGTAAAACATGCTTTAAAAGATGATAGTGAAACTCTACAGAATCTCTGCAAGACAAAAACACAATCACTTTCACTGGTTTGTTCCTCAATTGCTTTGCTTTAAGAAATGTTGCCAAAGCCACGAGTCTCAATTTACTAGGTATAATGCAAACATGTTGGATGAGTTTTTCAGGCAGCGCGAATATTTCATCATCTTCCTTCTCAATCCCGCTATCCACATCGGTATTAGTAACTTGTACATGGCATGGATTATGCAGAGCGAGATCAACCAGCCTTTGTACTTTATCTGATAAGGTAGCCGACAGAAGCACATTTTGACATTTTTTTGTTGACTGATTTTTAACTGCATTTCTTATTGCATCTACTTGCTTTTGAAATCCCATGTCAAGTAAGCGATCTGCTTCGTCAAATATTAACCATCTTAGATTTGCAAGTGAAAGTGCCTCTGTTGTTTGTATATGATCCAAAATACGACCTGGCGTCCCAATTATAATATTTATTCCTTTACGAATTCGAGATTTCTCTGATTTACGGTTTTCGCCACCAATGATCCAAGTGGCAACAATTCTGCAAAATGGCAGAGTTAATTTTGAGAAAACATCATATGATTGTAGAGCCAGTTCTCTTGTCGGTACCAGCACCATTGCAATTGGCCCATCTTTCCTTTTTATATTTGGTTTGATCTCCTGTATTCTATGTATCACTGGAATCGCATATGCGAGGGTTTTTCCAGAACCAGTCTGGGATTTTACTAGAGCATCGCGGCCAGATAAAAGAACAGGAATCGCTTTCTGCTGAATAGAAGTCATATTTTTCAACTTTAAGTTGTGATTAATATACGATAATAAATGTGGATGAATCTCTAAATCTGAGAAATTCTCCCTGGAAAAAATATCTTCCTGTACACTTGAAATATCAGGTTGAGAAACCTTTGGTATCTGTGGATTCTGATTAAATAGAGATGATTTCCGATGAGCTGTAACAGAAGTCTTTTTCGTTATTTCATTCAGATTGGTCTTTTGTTTATCAGTACTCGACTTGGATTCATCCGTGTTCAATGAAACAACAGTTTTTCCTTTGGTATTTGATCTCTTTGCAAAATATTTTACTTTTTTCGGTTTTTCATTTGGCAAGACTTCAACTCCTTTGAAATGGAGCGCAGTGCTATAATCATCATTTTCATTCTTTCCCTGTTTTAAAACAGATTTATCTTCTGAATCCAAGATTTTTACCTTTGATGTATTCAATATGGTGGGCTTTGCATTTTGTCCAACATATCTATACCGACTTGTATTTCGATAATTCTTATTTCCCCAGAATCTATTTTTTTTCTTGTGGAGCGGAAAGTTTCCAGATGCACTTAAGTTTATACTGAGATCATCATCCATGATGTTAATAATTTTATATAGATATTATCACTTGAAATACAAATGTATGAATGTAAATTAAAATAAGATAGTTGTTAATAGTGCCAAACACGAAACAGTGCATAATTGAATATATAATGTAATTATAATATGATAGCATAAAATGTTAAGAGAATATCCACACAAATAACTGCAGCCACAAGTAATTGAAGTGTATATATCACAATCATGCTTATTGTCATCAACATAAAACACATAATGTCAATACATCTAATATACATAATATATTTACTTTGGTATAATTAGATCTTAAAGGCGAATAGTTTCACTTTTGGTACTTTCTTTATTGTGTTTATAAGCAGGAGAACTTCTAATTGAAAAATGATATTAATTTTTTGAATTTGACATGATGCGAGGATGGGTCATTTTTTTACACTAAGTAATTAATTGATTCAAATTGAACTATATCTTATAAAGTATATCTTCAATGAATTACTTGATATATAATAGGCCTATTACTCAGTTTCAGTTCGTCATTGATATTACGCGATATTACTATACTATTACTACGATACATTATGTGAATCAACATGCCATGATGATAATCTGCATAACAAGATTGTCAGTGATGGTAACTATACTCTCAGTCTAGGGCTTTAAAAGTGTATATTGCACTATATTAAACAGAAAAAAAATTGAAAATAATCGAGCATTTATCCAGCAATTATAAAATGGAAACAGAAAGTTTTTAATCATAAAATTTTTGAGCAGAAAAAAAAATTGAAAACAATTGAGCATATTTGTCCAGTAATTATGAAATGGAAACAATACTTGGAAACTTTTGTGTCAATTATTTATTTAGAAACTTGGTCAAAATAGCAGAGGTACAAAGCATTCAATCTCATTGATGAGTGATACTTTCCATATACAGATATATTTTACAGCCAAATTCAAACATTTGACTTTACATATTTCAGTATTTATAATAAATATAAAATTGTGATTTTAAATGTATACTTCAGATGACATATATGTAATAAAATACCATACAAAATGGATTATCTTTTCCAGTTTCGAGTGCAATATTTACTGGTAAACTAGATTGCAGTGGAACCACAACAACTTCGTTCAGTCGTCCCATTCGTCTTCATCCACACCTTCCACTACAGGCACCTTGTTTGATACATCACCACCTTTATTTGCCAATATTTTATCTGTCCATGATGATCCAACTTTTTCATCGCCTGCCATGTTACCCACTGTTCGAGACTCTATTTCAATCCTTAGTAATTGATCAATAAATTGAGAATCACTTTTTGTCTTCAGCCTTACTTCATTATCAATGTCAATATCAAGTTGTTCCACATTTTCTTCTGATATCCAAAATGGAATCACATCAGAAACAGGGCCATTTTCAGTAATGCTCAAAAGCTGTTCTGATCCGATTATTTCTTTCAGCTTCATGTTTTCTATTTTATCTGTTTTCCCTTTGTCTACTGTTTTATAAGAGGACATCAAATAACCAGTGCTAACTTTCGTTTTCGCGCTAAAATTTGGTGTTGTTTCTTTGCCAGAACCGTCAAATTTTCGACGATGTGCTTGTTTTACTTTGACGTGAAAGACGAAATATCGATGCTTATTTTTAGTATTATCGACGATTGCATACCTCGATTTTTTGGTAACTTTTCCTTCTAGCAAAACCCCATCGCCTTTTGCAGTAAACTTCCCAATGAACCATTCAGATACATGACATGTTTTCACAGGTAACGTAGTCAGACTATCGTTACTATAAATGCGACTCATTATACAAGTATAAACAGCCCAAGTGAGATTCGACGAGCAAAACGCACTTGCGAAATTCCTGCTACTGTACTTATATTGTGACACGCGGTCCACTGACTGTCGAGAAACCTTGAGAAAAATGAACTAAAAAATGATGGTAACTTCAACACTGTAACAGCTCAATGAAACTGAGAGGGGTTGGTAGCCTGAAAGTCTCGTTGCCAGCAGCACATTAGGAGCAACGCATGTTCTTCATGAGGCATTTTTTCATTAACTATGGTCCTATGACTGAGGTATGTGACGCGGTGGTCTCTGAAGTTAAGCGTAAAATTATTTTGAAATGACTGATGTAAGTTTCATTCTCACAGCTCTGCTTCCGACTCTACAGGACGAAATAAAGAATTATGACGATGGACGTTTCATTGAAATATTTTGAGAGTGCCCAGGATTTGTATCAAACGAATTCCGATTCCAAGATATTTAAGAGCTTCGATGAACGATTTTTAGCTACTATCTTCACGTAAGAAACCCAGACATTTTTCCGAAGTGCCTTCTATTTGGTACATTAATACTATGAAGTGTTTCCACATAATAGCTATTTGTTTTACTTAACTTTGCTAATAAAAATTATTTGTTCTACAGGCAAATATTTAGTCATCTGGCTCAATAGAAAGTCTGCGAGAATGAAACACAAATTCCCAAGAAAAGGTAAAGGAACGAGACGATACGGCATATGTATTTAAATATATATTTATCAAAACTGGTATACCCATATGTTAAATAAAATATAGAATATACCGTAGCCTTGTTAGGAGAGATAAATACTGTATATAGTTTCTAACACGGAAATTTCCTTCCCAAATCAATGTTTTGAAATAAACACTGATAAATGCTTTATTATTACAGCTTTGTCTTGGCTGCTTTTGCACTCCGAAAGATTCAAAAACGAGAGAATTCATTTCTACAACAATTCCAATCTATAATATTCGCTAAATTAGTAGACCTATTGTTTTTTCGAGCATCAATCTTTGTCATTCATCTTCAGTAGGCTCAACAGACTCTTTGGAATCAGTTCACAGAAATATCAAATAACAGGAAACATTGAATAACCGAAATGATGAAGTAGATGATCACTTTATTTATGTTTCTGTTATCAATTTTTTGGCTCAATACAGTTACAATTTTAGGTTATATTCAAATTAAATATTTTTATAAATTCAGAATCTGTCTGGTACCGTGTTCAACAAAGAAGATTTGGATAAATCACCAAGCAAAGTTGGCAACATTAGATATATATTAAAAACAATAATTCAAGTTTAATATCATCCCATGAATATTTTCTAGTTTCAATTTTTATCGAACTTTCACTTTTCAGACAACGAATAGATCCTATGTTTGTTGGTAGTTAGACCAGCAACGTCATCTGTATTATGTTTATTGGTCACACGTTGCATTGTTAACTTATATATAACACTGAGAGTACTGTGCCCCATTTTTTTTGTATTGTTTACTACGCCTACACCACTTAAAACGCAACGACACGCAAATCTACAGGCAATAAAAGTTTATTTTAGGATAAATAGGTAAAAAACTTCAATCAATACCAACAGCGCATTGTTATTTTGTCATTCTGAGGTGATAAAAATTGTTTTTGTTCACAATTCTATGTTTTTTTTTTATTTGTTTTTAAATATCAACTATAAAAATCAAATATATTTCATTCAGGTATATTTTAATAAAATTTGTTGTATTTTGGATTCCGAATTAGGCGCGTCGGGTTTTCAGTAAATCGTTAGAGGAATGGAGCAAAATGATGTTATAAAATACGTAAGAATTTGTTTCTCACTGCAAATTTCAGAAAATTTGTTGTTTTTTGCAAATTTGTTGCCACCACAGTTGTACATCATTGTCTCATTGATTGTACGAAATATGGCTATAAAGACTTTTTGTAAAATTATTAAACGAATAAGGCCATGGCGGCTTAACCTTAACCCTATGTCAGCTGTCACTCTGAGTCTATTTTGCATTATCCTCTTTCAGACACTCGCTAATTGCTGATCATTAACCCCCAAAACACCATTTAAGACATGTCATATAATGGCGGATTGAGAAGAATCATACCCAGGTTTTTTGTCGTGTTAAGAAAGGAAGTCAATTTCCACTGCTCTATACATAGTAAACCCTAGCCCAATTGCACCGATTAATCAAAAACTCGTGCGACTTCCGAGACCGACAATAACGATAGTTGTTCAATAGTGGAGGGATACTGATATTAACGAGATAAGATTTATCGCAAGGAGAGCAAGGTTTTCGGGATAATAAGCGGTGCAAAGATGTTCATGTTCATAAAACCGCGAAAGAGTCAATTCCAACTTACAAACTTCGATTCACATAGTTGAAAAATCCCTGAACAAACACAGACAACTCGAAATGTCGTAGCAAATTAGCAGTCTAATGTTAATCGCATTTTTGCTAGTCATGGATCATCTTTTATACTTTCATTTATTTTTTATTCCGTTGATTACTTTTTCCACATGTCCTACGAACGCAGGAAAGTTTGGATCAGTCAGACATGTAGTTACAAATTCAGCCATGCCTTCGGCGGAATTTGTGACATCATAGTTACAATGTTGATATAGAAGTAGCATACTTGTATCCGACAGAATTGTTGAACAAATATTAGAGACGGTAGGCAATGCAGGCATTGTTATGTCCTGTATGGTAAAATATACAAAGATGAATCAGAATTTTGGTCAGTGTTATTTTGCTCAGCAATAGAACATTTATATATCCTAGTGGTTAATATATGCAATTTCCTGAGCGCATTATATCAATCTATTACTACGAGAGAGAGAGAGATTTTATTTCCAAAAAACAATGTTAAAAAAGAACAATGGTACAGATTTTTATAGAAATACAGTGCAGTGAAACGACAGAAATGTAATTTATAATAGTGTTCCATTAAAAATTAGTTCGTCCATTGTATTCGCCGTATTATTAAGCATACTTTCATATATGACTACTGCCCAAAATGCCTGTTGGGGACGGACTACGCCTTTAAATCTGCCTTTCTAGCAAAACTTATTTGTAATAGGCCTATATGGGTGCTCCAGTTAGCTACGGTAAATGTGTTCGCCGTATAAAATCTACTGTTTCTAAATTTGAAAACTTCCATAAAAATTCAAATGGATATATTAATTCCGAAGTTTTACAGGCGACAGATCGAGAAATTGTTTTAGTTTCTTGAACGAAACTATACTGCAGTTCATATTATACTAAAGCATCATTTAAATTATAATTTGTGAACAAATTGTATTAACTATAACTAAAAATCAACTAACCTGGGTGAGAGAATTTTCATTAGTTGTGTTTTCTATAACTTTGACGGTAAAATACTTTCCCATAACACTCGCGCATTCTTTACATAATTTATCGCTTGTTGAACCCGGAGTACCACAATCACGAAACTGTCAACGAAAAGAGATACGGCATTATCGGCAGTACAAATACGAAATTGCGAGTGTCATTTGCAGCGTACTGATGTGCGGTTGGAAAACAAAACTTTTTGGGAAACGAAGTCCGGAAGTTAGTAGGCCTACTATTGTGTTGAAATTATAATAAATAATCGATATTTTTCTAAAACAATGTGAGGTTCCGACAGAAAGATGACAAAAAAGGGATTTCATTTTCGGCATTGAGCTGTTTTGGTACCATTTGATTTTATTGATTGTAACATATTGTGGGTATTTACAAAGCAGAATTGGCAAAGGTATTAACAGGAAAAGAACCCATGTCGTTATTCGCGTTTTTTTTTGTGTCGAAATCGAAATTTTCTTACCTACATATTCACCATACTTTGTAAAAGTGGCTAGGAAGTCCATGGTTGATGAAAATCAACTTCTGGCTACAGTAAGTCAAAAACGTCAAGAAAATAAGACGCTCCAAAAGTATGTGTACCAATATGAAGGTGAAGAATTTTTTGTTTGCCTATTTTACATCAAATTGCGTAAAGGGGCTGAAACTTATGGGCAGGGGGATATTCACTTGGCTAACACAGACAGTCCCCTAACTCGTAATAGAACTAAAACATGAAAAATCGGAATTAAATATGGCCTAACCCTAACCTGGTACACATACTTTGGGAGTAGGGATACCACTTTTGGATTTACGAATCGGATCGATTCGAATCGCATCTTTTCCGGATCGATTCGAATACCAAATCACTCGAGATAATGTGTGGCGTAATTTCCACCAAACTGCAAGAACTTTCCACTGAACAGCCTAAGTTTCTATTATGCGCGAATTTATATCGGATCGTATACCTGAAAATTCGTGACAATTTTGATAAAAATTTTCAACAGCACACCTGCGTTGCGACCAAGTTATTGTACGCCCTGGCATGATTGGATAAAGAATCAGCTACCGACGTCTAGATAATATTTAATTTTGGTTGAAATTTAATTTAAACTTTGTTCTGGTTCTGAGTGAAATATTTCGCGTACATTCGAGGAGAACTATTACTGAATGAGTTCATGGGCCGGCAATGTTAATTGACAATCATGTTTCTCATTCTAAAATATATATTTATTTTGTTTGCGTCTATCAGGCTTCCACTCGAGTGGCGATAAACGAAATCAGGGGGACATAATGTAACAGTAAATATACGTCTTTTTTCAGCTGTTACAAAAAAAAGTAGTATTTACTTTTAATTTTGTTAGAGCGATACAAGCGGGAATAAAACATTTCGAATCATTTCTAGCAAATGCCATAACGGACAGGTGGGAGTAAATAATACTTGAGGAATGGCAACTTGTGCTCTGTTTTACATCAACACGTGCCAGATTTCATACCAGACGAAGCATACAGTGCGAATGTCGTCCTACTTTAGCCCCAGGGAGGGACCGTCAGCGCGGCGTCCACTATGCACATTTGGACTTTCAATGCTACATCTTTTTTATCATGATGTAAATAAGTGTGGCTTATTTCATTTTAAAGTTTTTCTCTTCTAGATTTGAGCCTTTTGTGACTTTGAGCAAACATACGCATGCAATAAGAAAAAAAAAAGCTTAATGGAATCAGATTCGGAAAGATTCGAATCGAAAATTTTCGATTCGAGATTCGATTCGAAAAAAAATGTATCCTGCAGTAGCAACCCTATTTGGGAGTACCGAAAATAATAGGATAAATTCATAGGGAGAATGCAACTGATACCAACCTGAAGGCGGAATATTCGACTCACGTCACATGTTTTGTACGCAATTACTATACAGTTATTTTTACAAAAGCCTTTCAACCATTTATGAGCGTCGACAAGGAAGTATCCCTCGAGGACTGTCGTTCCTGATAAGATTGTCAAATGGCCGGTCACTGTGATCACTATGCTCAACGGCGATGTAAGGCTATCTGGAATAGTCATAAGATTCAGTGTCGCTGTATTGTGAGTTTTGGAGTTCAATGTGACGGGTTGAAAAACAAGCATCAAGAGTAGCTCGAATTTACTAAATAAAATACTCATATATTCAAATAGGTAGGTAATTGCATTTTATGCTTATCATAGGGGGTGTGCCGCACTTCCATGTGTTTTAGGCCAGTATGGTCTTGTGTATACATCCAGTCTTCAATGTTGATATTTACTAACTCCTGTGTTTTTGCTTTTACGAGACGAATAAACATACATACATACAAATGTGACCTGCGGTTACGTGGTTTGCTATCATCGTGAACAGTCCCCTATTAAATATTTTTCATTTATTACTTTCATCGTGTTTGATGTATTCAAAAAATATGAAATTCAAATTTTCCCAACAACGAAAATTAGTTTTGGTACATTACCTTCAATAGTTTTCCATTCTTCCGATTTTGCGCACATAGCATCTCCTGCAAGTGAAATACGCGGGATTTATTACTATGCACCGATTGGCCACAGGGCAGTTGTCATTTATTTTAATGGTTGTGTATTATAAACCCCCGCCTTAGAAAGTTTGTACCGGTATGTGTTGTTGAAACAAATCGTAGAATATTCAGTAATGCCGTTGGCTAATGATTGTTGTTATTCAATTTTACAGACTACGTAACAATGATCAACTTACCAGTTCCTACAGCTTTCGGCTGAAGTCTGGCATATTTGCTCAGACCCCAGGTCCTATTTAGATTGCCTGTCACAGACTCGTTCATGAATATAGTTCTTCGCAAAGCCACCCAAAAAGTAAACCAGCTCCGTGCGTGCTTCCTTGTTTATTTCCGTAACAATCGCTATCGGCATTAGCTTTACGGTGATGTAACAATTGATGTTTTCTCGACCCTTGACCCCAGAAAAATTCTCCCTGTAAATTTTTGATGGCCATTATGGGAGCACAAGAGTGTTACATTATTATCGTTGGATACTTATTACTGATGAAACAAAATGGAAATACTGTGAAACTCAATTTAACAAATGGATCATGAATGGAATGTGGACTATAATTTATTTTATTTGTTTATTTATTTTTTACATATTTATTGAAATCACTCAATGAGTGAACCAATTAAAAAAAAAAAAAAAAAAAAAAAAAAAAAAGTCGACGCTTACAAACTGTTTCTTTTTTTTATAAAAGAATATTTTTTACGTATTGAACACACCACATTGTGGATCTATTTAATATATATATATATATATATATGAAAGAAAATTCAATAACTTGCCACTAACAGCTATCGATACCTAATTTTGGCCTAGTATATCGCATCTTCCCATGGACTGATTTTTGAATATTGCAACTAAATTAAAGCTCCTTGGAATACATTAGCCACATGCGCCACATTGCCAAGTTAGTTGTCAGGTTGTACTGTATTGGTTTTCAGATAAGGATATTATTATTGTAGTATTATCACAATTGCAACTCTATACAGATATACAATACAAAGGTGTGATACTATACAGCTATACCTGAGATATTCGGGTCTGGTATAGTTTAGTACCGGGTACCACATGCAGATAGGATAGGATTTACATATTTATCCCGGGGAGAGGAAAACCGATAAGACGGCTTATCCATTTGGCGAACCACGGCCTCTCGTCGGGTTACCATTCCAAGTCGGGTATGGGATTAGTTATATTGTTTGTTTTCGGAAGCATGGACTTGGTGGTGGTGGAGGAAGCCGTACCTGACCAGCGGTTACGTGAACCACCCAACGATGGCGAGAAGTCCAGCAATCCTCTCGCACATAACCATCCCTGCATGGAATTCGAACCTGCGAACCCACGCAGAGTAATTAGAGGTGCGGTGGCGACGTAATTTTTGGATGGCATAGTCAGGTGGGGATTAGGGATAACATACCGGTATGCAAAATTCGTTATGTTACACCCACTGGAAGTACAAAACTATACTAGACCCAGACACTCAACCATCACTTCAATGTATTATTCTTATAATTTTCTAAGACTATAAGATGAGTAGAAGTCCGTCTCAATATGCTAAGCACATGAAACATCTGAGTGCCAGAATATTTGGAGAACCTACTCAACAGCAACAATTTCAAGCGCATAGAGTCATCAAGCTTATGTCCAAGCAGCCATTCTATAAAAAAACTGAGTTTGTCAATTATTATCCGAAGATTTTTGAGACTGGAAGACTATTCATCAAACTCAGGGATTTGGGACTATATGTGTGAGTAGTAACTTTTCAAATGTAGAGATGATTTATGATTCAGATATTTATTTTTGTCATATACAGATATACAATATGAAATAAATAAAAAGTACATAACAAATTAAAAAAACGTATATCGGCTTGTTGCAGTGGATTAGGGTTCGCGAAAGACTCAAAGAGTCATTTTTTCCAACCAGTAATGTAATAAACAGATACAAATGCAAAAATATATGCGAAAAAGTAAAGAACATAATTTTACTGGGGAAGGGAAGCCACCGAACAACTCAATATTACACATTTACTAAATTGGACACAATCGTATAAAAAAGGACAACAAAAAGAATACCAAATAAACTGCAAATGCCCCAATGACTATGAGGTAGTACATGTCAGCTTGTGGTCTCTAATTATTGTCAAAATTGACTATTGTTTCATATATCATCATATATGTTTGTGTGATCTTTCTATTTTTAGAGATGAACATTTGGACTTCAATGAAGAATACCAACGCTTGAGAGAAGCCAGAGGAAAAGTATTTGTGAGAAAAGACTGGTCAAAGAAAAATTAATTTTATATAACAACACTACATTTCATATTTGTCTCACCTGCCTCATTTGTCAACAAACTTAACATTTTAATTTAAAAAATGGAGGTTGAGGATCAGGACTCTGCAAAAACACAGGAATTGTCAACCAACCCAAGTAAAAACAACAATGTTCCCTCACTTCCAAGAGACCCCACATTGGATTGCGCTATATGCTTGCAACGTTTTGTTCAACCTATTCAACTTCCATGCAGCCACACATTTTGCTTCTTGTGTGCAAAGGTTAGAATTGACTCATATAATGCTATTATCTGGTAGGGATAATTTCCCCTGTTTTGAGCCTTCAAAAAACTGACACAGCAAACCTTACTAGTTCTTGTATATCATCTATTCTTTTTTTTTTTCTTATATTTTTTTTTTAAATTGACTATAAGTAGTGTGAGATATCGCCTTGTATATATCACATTTCAAGAAAATTGTTAAACAAAGTATTACACTTACAATATTAACTTTTCTATCATTGATAGTGCACTCGAAAACTTATGCTGACATTTTTAGAAAATGGTCTCAATTCCAGTCCAATTCTGTAAGGCCTAGAAATATTATTTTTCATCCAAAAATGGATGAATCAAGTGAGTTTTGAATACATTCCCAGTATACCATATATAAATGTTAATTCTAAACATTTGTGATCTATCTAACATAATGTATATTTGATTAGGGTATTGCACTTCAACGACAGCCTTGTGCTCTCTGCAGGACTGATATTCCCGCTGATTTCTTAACCAAACCTGGACAATTTCAAGCCAAACATCGTTCGAAACCAGGGACAGAAGATATAGCCACGCATATGTGGTACTATCAAGGTCATAAAGGATGGTGGCAATATGACATCAGAACGTCTGCTGACATTGAGGATGCATATAATCGCAAAGATAAATCCATTGACATCTTAATTGCTGGAGCCATTTATGTCATAGACTTAGAGGAAATGGTACAGTATCGACGAGATATGAACTCCAGGAAAAGAAAAATCAAAAGAGATATAGTGGATGCCCAGAAAAAGGGTGTAGCCGGTATGACTGGGTCCACCTCATCTACAGACACATCTACAAGTGCATCAACTTTGGGTGCTAGTGACTCCCAGTTGAGACAAGGTCCAATAGGCGATGGAAATGATCCTGTTGTTGGATCCCAAACAGGAGGGTGTAACTGACTCCCAAATACACATTATTAGACTTCAAAGTGCTTAGCCTACCGAAATAGATATCTGCGCATCAAATATATTATTTCCATGTAAAAACATATGCACTTGTTCAAATCAGAATAGCTGTATTATTGAACTTGCAAATCACGGGTACAATGTGTACAGATTTATTTTTGCCTCTCATAGTTTATAGTTCACTAGTTACTTGTTCAGTTAAGTTATCAATTCCTCTAACACAAAATATATTTAGACACAGTCTCCGACACAATGATGTAAATATTTAAAACCAAACAGCCTAACATTCCATAGCTAGCTGCTTCTGCAGTAAAATACATTAGATAATGGAACCGCCTGAAAACTAATTCTTCAAGCGCATCACCTACTCTAACAAGTAGAATACTGATTTCTGTATTATAGAAAAATGCTATATTTAATATCATCTGCTGTATTCTGATTGGCAGATGTGAATAAATTTTCAAATGTATCCTAAAGGTCTGTTGGTTATGTCAACTCGGTGGTTAGAAATAATATGCTCTTTGTTGCAGTATTGTTTAGCTTGACCAGCCACCCCCTTTTAAAATTTTCAAAGAACGAAATAGTGTCTATAGCAGGGGTGGGCAACTTCTCTAGTCGGGGGGCCAGATCAGATGTGGGAAAATGAAGTCCCCGGCGGGCCAGATTATTACAAAAAATACTTATCTTTGTTAAATGCTCGACACTCTGTCAACTTCACGTTTCTTGGAATATTTCATGGTTAATAAAACTTAATATAAAATCTAATTATAAATATACCTGATAACAGAAATAGGAATGTATGCGACGCGCACGCGCTCTGCTTTGAACTTATATTGTTAGTTTGAAAAGTGTGCTAACGCAATTGTTTATTTCCCCAGCTCGCACTAACAGTGCAGTGACAGTAGAGCGATCGACAACTGTCAGGAATGATGCGTCGGACCACATTACAGAGTGTGGTTGGATACAGTCAGCAGGCCGGTCAAAATCTCGTCGCGGGCTGTATGTTGCCCACCCCTGGTCTATAGAATGCACTTTCACATAACCAGTTTCGTCAAAATCAGGGATTCATTTTATCGATATGACGCTCCCGGAATTTGCATTGCCAACATTATGATGAGTTGTACCAGGCAATGCCGCCTGTCTAGCCACGAGCTAAATAATGTAATATGATTAATCGACATTTTTCCAACCGTGATATCTTTAAGAGGAAGTCAGTGTCGCAAGATGTGAATCAAAACCAGATATAACCAGGCAGTTTACCCAGATTAGTCAACTAAACCAAGACTTTAAAAATGGGTAGTGCAACTTCTTTCGGAAGCCATTCCACGACAATTCAGATTTGAGCCCCCCCCCCCCCCCGTTTTGAAAACGCTGGTTGCAACGCAACAACAACCATCGAGAAGGAATTTAAAAATACAATTCTGGGTCGATAAGTGGTTGACTGGAGTATCCCCCCCAACACTCATTCAATTAAGTAAATTTCATACAAGAGATCTATTTGAAATGATCTAATAAAACATTTAAAAATCTTGCTGCTGAATGATGAGGATGTTTATGCTTCTGAGAATTCCATGAAAACCTGGACAACAAGTTATTCCATATCATGTTAAAGGTGTATCGCAACTCATCCATTGTCTCGGAGAGTTGAACTTCTATTGAACAACCATGTTTGAACTTTATCATGGACATTAACATCAAGCTTTGTGCCACACAGATAGTCATGTGTGTCAAATTGTATTTGTGATAATGTCGCTTATTTTGTAATAACACCATGGCTAAGCTTGCACCTGGAGATCCTCCAGCTAAACTGAAACTGAAAAAATCAGAATGAGCATTGATAAAAACACCCAGATGGAGTTGAAGCTAGCAGGAATTCTAGTGGCTCCAGCACCTATTCATCTAATTATTAATTCCCATTTATATTTCATAAAAATGATGACCTTCAAGCCAAATTTGTATGAAGTATAAAATCCATAGTCACACTGCTGATGTAGTGCGCTACGAAAATAAAGCAAAAGGTTTATGAGGATAGCCTATCAAAATATAAGAATGTGTTTTTAATTACCCATGTAAAATTGGCTCCGGTATATTTGCTGGATTTTCATAAGTCAAGCTAGATATAGTAGCATCAATAGTGTGAACAAAAAAAGTAAGTCCGTTAATTGAAACAAAATAATTGAAAGCTAAATCATCATCCAAGTCTTCCAGCAAAATTAATACAGATCTTGCAACACTCCAACCAAACAGCAAACATAATTTGTCCATGGTATGACAGTTTATATCCCGAAGTTATTTGACAGCAGGTGCTGGAAGAGATTCAAAAGTCAGGTCTTCAAATGATCCCGTCAATAAAACGCCTGCGCCAAAAAGTGCGATGTTGATAAGGAATTTCCTGCAATATCAAAACAAAGTAGTTTTTCAATATAAGATCTCATTAACTTTCAAATTAACGAATGCATCTATGTTGACTCATTTTTCATTAAATGAATTTTATGTTTATAGAATTTTCTTGCAAGATGGTCCAAAGTAGCGCTATAATCAATTTTCGCAGCTATGTTGAAGATTTTTTTGGGTGACCCATCAGCCTTTTGCCATGAACAAGGCCACTAAAATGTAAGAAACTATGATACTTTGGAAGGACTGTAATCTACCTACTAGGTTCGGCATTGCCTACCGAATTTATTACAACCTGGCAGAGATAGAAAATTCACACAAACACATAGCTTACCTCTTCGATGAATTTGTAAACCAATCTTTCACAATGTTCATGTATGATTTCTTTGATTTATCTGTAGGAGTCATTTTCAAGAACTGGGCATTAAGCTAGACTCAATCTAATAATGTTAGTCACTATATAAATCAAAAACATTGAATATCGATAATGAAACACAGGCACAATTGATAATATAAAAAGGACAAAATTTATAAAAATATGCAGCATCAACCGGATTCTTCAATTCAGATTGATTTCTTACCAACAATTGTACAGTTTGTTATATTGTTAATAGTAAATCCACGCCTCACAGTCACACACACCAAAGATATGTTGATAAGGCTATTGTAGTACTACATCTGAGTGGCTTTACAGAGTTTTTCAAATACCAGGAATGGCCATATTCTGAAATGAACAATTAAAAAAAATTCGGCAAATCAATATACATTTGCAGACTGAAATTTTAATAAGAGCAAAAAGCAATGAATGTGTTTTCTACTTCTATCAGGATAAATTCAATATAAAATCTGGTATAGTTAAATAGGTGGATGCTAAATGTTTCTGAACTGATCGATAGAGTTTATGCATCCATACATTGGCCGAGTAGGTTTTCCTCCAACATCCGAGGAATGATTGATTGGTTGATCCCCTGACTGACATGGTGACTGGACAAGATAGAGAGAGTCCCTCCCATATGATTATTCACGAAAAATCCTAAATTTTAAGAAGTTTTGGCTGGTCGTATGTTCAAACTTCTCACAGTCAACAATAAATTCAGGAAATTAAGCCAGGAGTCAACATTTTTTTTTGTTCTTGTCAAATTTATAAACCACAGCAGGCAGCAAAATAATATCAGCTTTCCCCAGAGCGTGATTTTTTACCATATTTGTCAACCTTGTTCTGCCGAATCTTACGCTTTTTATCTTTGCTTGCAGATGCAGAGTCTTGGGTACTGACAGAACTATATCCATCTTCCGAGTTATTTTTATTTTTAACACTCGATGTGGAAATTTTGCCATTTGAATCTGAACGTTTTAACAGTTTGTTTCCTCCATTTTCTCTAGATTGTTTTTCTTTGCTTGAACTAGAGTCTCCATCTTTTCGAGAATCCACTCCACTTACAGCCGCCGCAGATGTGATTGAAGATTTACTAAAAAGTCTTTCAGCTTCTTTAAATTTTCTGTTTCTACGATCTGATTTGCTATTAGTGTTTTTATTATTTGTCAAATATCTGTCCCATCCTCTAATGATGTTTCCATAGAGTTGAGTATCTTCCAAATAGCTTCCTTCAAAAGCGTAAATTTGGCGCTCAAGATTTGCTAAAGTTTCAGTTATTTCTTCTTTTCGCTTTACTAACTCTGATAGTTCTGCTCTGGTGTTGGATCCTTGGTTTTTATTAGACATATTGAAAACTGAAACAGAAGACATATGACTGTATGACATATTAACTACCATATGAAAATCTTGTTCTTTGGTTTGCAGGTTTAATTAACCCAAGCTAAAATGAAAATCATTCAGAAATGAAATATCAAATAATTAAAAGTGCAAATAATTAGCCTGCTCCAAATTTTCAGATTTTTGAATCAATTATTGAATTAGAAAGACTAAGCACCTAGATTTAGGTTATATTGAAGCAAAAGCTATAATGGCCAAAGAAAATTGAGTGTTATATTAATATTGGTATGGGATTTCAACATATATTATACAGCAAATATTGTTATTTGCTCATGCTTATTGTATTATGTACTTGTATCGGAAATAAATCATTATCTATCTATCAACAATTATGTGATCTCAGTGCAGCAGTGATTCTAGTTAGGGTTAAGAGCTGAAATATATGAGAATGTCTGAATGAAGCACCACTTTGGTATACGATTGAGATCACACTGAACAAGTGAGGTCGCATACCAAAGTGGCAGCCCATTATGCATTATGATTTTTTATAACTTTGTCATATATGTGCCTATGTTTGCCCATTTTGATATCATTCGTATTTAAACTATTACTTCGCCAAAAATAAATTACACTTTTATAATACCTAAATACTCATGGACTAAATATATGCGATACACTATTATTCAATGATAGACCTGAAAAAAAAACAGAATTATTGCCCTATATCAGTATATTCTGATACCATAATATATTCCAAGTAATGAATAAAATTGGTAGGTTGGGTTGAGTCGAGTCAAACTGAAAATACATAGACTATCATATGCTTCTACGATTGAGGTTTTCCCCTACCCTTCTTGACCCAGTGGCCCCAAAAATATTCTCCCTAATTTTTTGACGCTGAATTGGATTTTTTTTGAAGAGTTTGCACTTATAAATAAACTTGTTATACTGTTAGACTGGCCTATATGTTCAAAAGCATTATTTTTGTTAAAAACAATTAACCACGTGCCGCTCACAGATACCGGCGGTATCCAATTTTAGCCTAGCCCTGTCAGCCTGTACCGGTACGTACCGGTACGGTAGACCATCGCAGCTTTTTCGAGACTAATTTTTGATTATTGCAACTAAACTAAAGCTCTGTGGAAAGCATAACGACTTTTATACTATTTGATTTACAACTAATTTTTGGAAACACAACTGAAAACTAATAAATACCGTACCACGCAAATCACAAAAAAAAAAGAGGCGCAGTTCTTACCACTTCATGGCAGCTCCTGCCACGAACGAACCGCGGCACCACTGTGAAGCTAGTAGCAATTTGACCTTTGTGTGCGGCGAAGCGGAAAGGTGAATATTGGCAGCAGAAATGAAGGAGTGTCATAATCTACATCCGAAAAAATATAGAAAAACGAATTTAGAATACGATCAATGGGAAGATACTAATCATTTACGATAAATTAACATCTACCAAAGCAAAAAATAACAATAAATTACATGATAAACAATGAAAAAACAATAAAAATGACACGAATTTTATTTAACTTCCTTCGAAATAGCAGATGAGCAATTCCTAAATCAAGTCAAGTTGTACAGTAACAAAACTAAGGAGATGGATGACGAGTTTAAAAAATGGGGAGTCAGCGTACCCCCATAGGAGAACATAAGCCTTCCAAATTTTAAAACCTAGGGTATTCTCATAGCTAAAAAAACGTCCTTATTCGGAAAATTACCTATAGCTAAAAAAGCTGATTTAGTCAAATTTCAAAGCCTAGCAGCACATCCTTCCGCCCAAGAGGCATCCGATTTGATTATTTATTATTAAAGAGGTTTATCTGAAGTTATTCACACAACTCGAACCTAAGTCTTGTTTTTATTAGAATCTAGGGTATTATCGAAGCGAAAATGGCCTATTTTTGAAAAATTGCGTATAGCGAAAAAAGCTGATTTAGCCAAATTTTCAAAGCCTAGCAAGCACGCCCTTCCGCCCAAGAGGCATCCGATTTGATTATTTATTATTAAAGATGTTTATCTGAAGTTTTCACACATCTGAACCTAAGCCTTGTTTTTATTAGAATTAGGGTATTATCGAAGCGAAAATGGCCTTATTTGGAAAAATTACTTATAGCGAAAAAAGCTGATTTAGCCAAATTTCAAAGCCTAGCAGCACACCCTTCCGCCCAAGAGGCATCCGATTTGATTATTTATTATTAAAGAGGTTTATCTGAAGTTTTTCACACAACTCGAACCTAAGCCTTGTTTTTATTAGAATCTAGGGTATTATCGAAGCGAAAATGGCCCATTTTGGAAAAATTACGTATAGCGAAAAAAGCTGATTTAACCAAATTTCAAAGCCTAGCAGCACACCCTTCCGCCCAAGAGGCATCCGATTTGATTATTTATTATTAAAGAGGTTTATCTGAAGTTTTTCACACAACTCGAACCTAAGCCTTGTTTTTATTAGAATCTAGGGTATTATCGAAGCGAAAATGGCCTTATTTGGAAAAATTACTTATAGCGAAAAAAGCTGATTTAGCCAAATTTCAAAGCCTAGCAGCACATCCTTCCGCCCAAGAGGCATCCGATTTGATTATTTATTATTAAAGAGGTTTATCTGAAGTTTTTCACACAACTCGAACCTAAGCCTTGTTTTTATTAGAATCTAGGGTATTATCGAAGCGAAAATGGCCCATGTTTGAAAAATTACGTATAGCGAAAAAAGCTGATTCAACAAATTTCAAAGCCTAGCAGCACACCCTTCCGCCCAAGAGGCATCCGATTTGATTATTTATTATTAAAGAGTTTATCTGAAGTTTTTCACACAACTCGAACCTAAGCCTTGTTTTTATTAGAATCTAGGGTATTATCGAAGCGAAAATGGCCCATTTTTGAAAAATTACGTATAGCGAAAAAAGCTGATTCAATCAAATTTCAAAGCCTAGCAGCACACCCTTCCGCCCAAGAGGCATCCGATTTGATTATTTATTATTAAAGATGTTTATCTGAAGTTTTTCACACAGTTCGAACCTAAGCCTTGTTTTTATTAGAATCTAGGGTATTATCGAAGCGAAAATGGCCCATTTTTGAAAAATTACGTATAGCGAAAAAAGCTGATTTAACCAAATTTCAAAGCCTAGCAGCACACCCTTCCGCCCAAGAGGCATCCGATTTGATTATTTATTATTAAAGAGGTTTATCTGAAGTTTTTCACACAACTCGAACCTAAGCCTTGTTTTTATTAGAATCTAGGGTATTATCGAAGCGAAAATGGCCTTATTTGAAAAATTACGTTATAGCGAAAAAAGCTGATTTAACAAATTTCAAAGCCTAGCAGCACACCCTTCCGCCCAAGAGGCATCCGATTTGATTATTATTATTAAAGAGTTTATCTGAAGTTTTTCACACAACTCGAACCTAAGCCTTGTTTTTATTAGAATCTAGGGTATTATCGAAGCGAAAATGGCCTTATTTGAAAAATTACTATAGCGAAAAAAGCTGATTTAGCCAAATTTCAAAGCCTAGCAGCACACCCTTCCGCCCAAGAGGCATCCGATTTGATTATTTATTATTAAAGAGTTTATCTGAAGTTTTTCACACAACTCGAACCTAAGCCTTGTTTTTAGAATCTAGGGTATTATCGAAGCGAAAATGGCCCATTTTGAAAAATTACGTATAGCGAAAAAAAGATGATTAGCCAATTTCAAAGCCTAGCAGCACA